GTACATCAGGTTTGTGGCCTTGCAATTCTGCTGATGTTTCTCAAAATCCTCGTCGGTCCATTTTTCTTGGTCAGTCTTGAGCTCGTGCGGACCCTTGATGACTGTTGCCCAGAGTTTCGGGTCTGTTGAACCAACGAACAGCTCCATTCGATTCTTCCAGTACCCGTTGGTGGCCGATTTTGTGAAAACCCATCCGCGAGATAGAGAACAGCCCCCATTCCCGAATTCGTCGACATGTCTTGCTACTCCGGAGATCGCTTGACCCTTTTCGACAGAACCAGGCTCTGATACCACGTGTAAAAGTGTCGAGCGCGAGACAAATCGGCCTTCTTTCTCTTATTCGGATTCAACACCTGCACTAAGCTTCTTCGTCTCTTTCGGCAAGAACAGCAGAACCAGTTTTTACCTAGAGTTTTTGTTTGATCGGAATGACCAGGAAGGATTTCCTCTTTTGGTGTTTGAGCAGCCGATAGCTTAGCCTTGGAAGAATTGGGCCGAGACCCAAAGCTTATTTTATTTAGCTTTCTCACCAGCCCACTCAAAAGCTTTTCCTTGGCCTGATCACAAATCAGACACCAACCTTTTCCCAAAACTCACCGTTTCACGAACCCAAACTGATCCTTCCCTTCTCTTCGACTGAAATCAAAAACCCCTGTTCTTTGCTTTCAACCCAGACACATGAACAGAGTGCAACAGGATATCAGCAAAGCCAATCAAGTGCAGAAAATAAAACACAACACCAAATTTTTACGTGGTATCCGGTGTTAGGTGTTTAACGAACCCAACACCGACTAATCCACGGTCAGAGAATCGCTCTCTTGCGATCTCTGACGATTCACTAGAAATTGTTCTTTAAGCTCCCTTCGAAACACAATCAGAGTTACCCGATCAGCCTACTGCTTGATCGTCAAACCTTTATCTCCCTACTAGCTACCCAGCCAATAGAACCCCTGATATACCACCTATACCAGTACCCAGAAATCACTACTAATCTCTGTGCTGACTTTTTCCACTCAAACCCTTGCTAAAGCTCTAGCTCTCTTGTTTGAAATCGCTGAAAAAGTCTAGCTCTTACTCTTTGATAAAGGTGTTATATATATTGCTCCACTGTGAGTAGCCGTTAGACAGGACCGTTGCACTTTCCTTCTCTGTTTCATTTGATTGCGTCACCTTCCTTCTTTGCCATCAATAAGACGATTCTGCTGATATGATTCCAGCTGGGGTTGGTAGTGGATATTGCGACGCTGACCTCAACAGACGGGCGAGCAAATAACTAATCAATTGGAATCCGCAAAGCCGCAGTTAAAAAAAAATACTGAGTTGCCAAATATACGACTGACTTCGTGTCTAATTTCTATGAAAGTTCATAAAGTTTGATGACGGCCATATTACATGAAATTGTAGGGATCCATGTCACGGACTGGTCACTAAGGACAATAATGCTCCAATAAAATCAATCTTAGGCCGCAGCAGAGCACGGCCCAGCCTTCACTAGTACATGGTTAAAGAACTAAAAACAAAAGGGAGTAAAACGGAAGTCAGCTCTAAAGGCTACTCAGTCGATTGTCTAGAGTCTAACGTCAAGTAGCAAGCAGGGATGGCAATGGGTCGGGTTGGGGCGCGTTTTGTCAAACCCAAACCCAAACCCATGGGTTTATCCGCCAAAAAAACCCGGGGTAAAACCCGTTGGGTTTGAAAAACTCAAACCCAACCAAACCTGCTGGGTATCCGCGGGTTCATGGATACCCGTGGGTTTTTGCGGTAAAAAATTTACAATAACAAGTTTCTTTCAAAATAAAAGTTTAACATCAATTTTCTCATACAAATTAATCATACAAAAAACACCAATCTAGAGCATACAAGCAAACCGCAAATGATCAATACAAATTGTTCAAAATAAGATTAATTGAAAGCTTCTTCCTCGTCGACTAAGTTTCTTCACTCTCCACTTCATAATTTCAACTTCATTCTAAACAATTAGAAAGAACAAATTATACGTGTCTCCACAAAACATAAAGAATATTAGTTATTTAAGAAAGATATATTATTTAGAATATTAAATATACAGGGAAAGTAATTATATATGTTTGGGCGGGTACCCATGGGGCGGGTTTACCTAAACCCAACCCGGCCCGGTGAATAGTGTAACGGGTTTAAACCCGAACCCGGCCCAAAACCCGTCAACACGGGTTTTACCCGCGTTGACCGGGTTGGGTCGGGTGGGTACCCGTGGGTTCGGGTTTTGTTGCCATCTCTAGTAGCAAGTAAAGTGGTTCTTTCCTACAAAAGTAAAGTGGTTCTTGGGGCATTGTCAATGGCGGCCTTTAGATTAGCTAACCATTTTCTAAGTGGGGATTCAGGCTTTCAAATGGATTCCCCAACAATTGCAGTGATATCCTTTAGAAATGCTTGGTAATAAAAAAAAAATTAACTCTAAAATTAACAATAACATAGGCTTGAATTGATTAATTGTTAATGTTGTAGAGAGTCGAGTAACTAATTAATTATTTATGTGGTTAGAAAAGTCTTTTTTTTTACTCGAGTACATGTTGCTCTTTTGATTTCTTTTCCTGGTCATATAGAAAGCTGTAATATGTTTGATCTCTTTCTAATCAATACAAGATTTCTTTAGTTTGGAAAGAATTAATTCCTTGTCTGGTTGATCATTAGAGATTACATCATTACTAAGTTAAAGGTTCAAAGTTGGGGAGGGACAGGTTCAATTGGTTGTGTGCTGTGATTGTGTTCTGGAGACAGAGGACCATTTGTTTGCAACTTGTCCTGCTTTCAAAACTTTGTATGCAGGTTTATTTTCCAGGTTTACAACTCGACTCCCTAGTGACCAATGGCAGATAGAGCTTCAGTGGGCGATGAATGTTTTTAAAGGAACCAGTCCTGTTGATCAAGCTGGGAAACTCGTTTGACAGGCTCGATTGGCTACACTCTAGCGAGAACGTTACCTGATGAAGTTTGGTGGAAGACACAAGGATGCAAGTGAATTGCTGATCCTAGTCAAAAGCAGCGGCGGATCCAGAACTGTTTAGAGCACTGGGCCGCATTTAAAAAGCGATGAAGAGTGATGGGCCGCAACCAAATAAACACTGAAATATATACCCAAAATCGAAAACTTACAAGTACTATACGAGTTTTGGATCCGGAGAGGGCTGGGCCGTGACCCGGTGGCAGCCTCCCCTAGATCCGTCGCTGGTCAAAAGAGATATTAGCCTACTGTTGAGTCCCGGTATTCTTAGTCAGTTCGTTGTCTGAAACGGTGTTCTATTGATAGTTTTTTTTTGTTTAACAAGTTTTGTATAGGCACCATACTTGTCTGTTACTCATTTGGCAGAGTCTGTTGCCATTAGTACCCTAGCAATTTTGATGAAATACAACAGATCCTATTCATAAAAAAAGTATATATATATATTTGACTCATTATTTGGCCCAAAATAACTCACCGTAAAACCTCATCTAAACCAGCCCTAATAAACTTGTAGAGCTAAAAGAAGACATTTTGGATCAATCTGGTTGAACTTGATGGTTTCCCCCTTTCTCCATCTGTCTAGCTTTTGGTACAAAGCAACAATCATGATGGAGTAGTACTCTTAGGGAATCTTGAACAACAATATACTCAATGTCTTTCAAATTGATCCTTGCAAGACCCTTATTAATAGAAATGTCTATGCTGAGGAAGCTCCGAAACAATTGCATTCAAATATCAACCAACATCGAGATTAAAATGTACCTCGTCAAGAACCGAAATCTGTTTCTTGAAGCTAAAAAAAAAATGGAATTAACTCTGACCGATTTAATTTAATTTAGCTTTTCAATTTTGTTTTAGTCCACTTCATCTCCTTATTTTGATTTTTTTCCCTTTGAATTCCTTTTTATTTTCTGGTTTAGTGAATTAACATTACCATTGAAAAAATATAAAGTTTCCTCATTATAATTAAGTGTTATCATGTACCTATAATTTTAACAATAATATTACTATTAGTTAAGTGGTCAATTAGCAGGTCATTGACTTCCATTATTTTTTTCAAGCCATTAGGAGTTGAGAGCCCGTAAACCAGATCAGAAAAAACGTAAATGAGGGAAAATCAACTAACCCAGAAAGGGAGATACAAACTACTAAAACCTAATATTTTTCTTGGGACACAAACAACTTGCGTAGCACTATCGTCAACCAACAACAAAAGTTTTCGCATTGTATATGACAAATAAGTTGGGCTTAGAAGTTTTGAGAATAGGTATAGTTGGTATTCGATTTGATTTTTAACTTGTGATATAACTTCTTTTTATTTATAGTTCAATTCAATTATGTAATTAAATATTACCGAATTAATAAAACAGGTATAGTTGGATAGGAGTATTTAAAATGTTTGGATGTGAAATACAAGTAATTCGAATTTTTAGTTTGAATACTCATTTGTAATTTGTTGCCATTTCAGACTTTATGGATTTTTTTATTTTGAATTTTCTTGTCACATATTACTGGTTTTTGAAAATTTCATTTTAGTATATCCAAATTTATTTTCCCTTATAAATTAGTATCTAAACTTAAATTTTTTTAAAAAGTCCAAAAATTTTAGTGATAAAATTATGTTTTAGTGCCTTTATATTTTTTGTCCTATATTTTTGTAACTAATGGCAAATAGGTTATAACAAAACATTTATTAATTATCTTATTTAATAAATTATATTTTTTAAAGTTACAAAAATATATTAATTATAACTTTCTCTCTCTTTTTCTCTCGCTTCCGCCATCTCCAGCCATATCTCTCTTCCTTCTTTTTCTCGATATTTTCCTTATCTCCGTTCAGTCGAAATATTACCACTACAAAAATAAAGCAAGAAATCAATACCAATCCATTAGACAATCACTACTACTTTGAAAAACACCAATACCATTGCTGAAATAAATCAATATCATTATGAAAAACAGTATCATACACTAAAACTACCAATATAAACAATTTATATCATTACAGGAATCAAACCAATATCAAAATCAACCAATACCAATACTACTATGAAATTAAAACAATAAAGTTATACCATTGAAGAAATAAATCAATGTTATTATGAAAATAAAGTTATACCATTTCATTAAACAAAGCAAATGAACTAGTACCAAAACAAACAAAAAACCTAGATCTGAAATTTTTATATTCTCTGGATTGGGATTGATTGAGAGAGAGACTGGCACCATTCCCATTTGCGCTTGCTTTCGTTTCGTCACTTTGCCTCCTTTTACTCCATTTGTGAATTTCTACCCTTCCCCGGCCGTAGGGAAAATTCTACCCTCCCGAGAGAGCGAGAGAGAGAGAGAGAGAGAGAGAGGGAGGGAGAGAGAGAGGGAGACTGCTACTTGGCCTCCAATTTCGCCGTTCCTTTTTCCACCATAGAGTTGGAGTCAGATTTAGCGGTGGAGGCAAGCAGAGCAAGTACGGCGACGGAAACTGACAGGGAGAGGGAGGGAGGTGGGAAGCGAGAGAGATGGAGATTTGGGAGCGAGTTGAAGCATAATAGGAATGACAATGGATTGGGTTGAGACTAGATAATTCATATATGTTATCCTACCGAAAGTAGTTCGGGTTTTATCCATACCTGTACTCATACAAGAACCGGGTAAAATATCAAAATCATATGCTTATCCAATCGGGTTTCGAGTATTGAGGAAAGCAAAGAGATAAAGAACCTCTAGTTAGCATATACTAACGAATCTTCTAGTTAGCAGAATAACTAGGTTGTGCCTCGAGATAAAGAACTATTGAGGAAAGCAAAGAGATAAAGAACCTAAAATGGAGCCACAGGATAAAGAACCGGATGCCTTGGGATAAAGTTCCTAACATAGAACATCGGGGTATAAAACTCTCTTGGAACCAAAGGGTGAAGGGAGAGGAGAGAGGGTAAGAAGGCTATAAACAAGAGAGTGATACATCACTTAACTTGGCATATGTGGTTGGCATTTTGGAATTAGCACTTCCACTGCCTACTGATGATTATTGCTACAAATTCTATCTAAAGGGGGCTCTCACAAGTCACAACCTAGACGAGAACTTCTAGTTCCATGGTGAAAAAGTGGCTCTAGGATTTTGTAACAATTATGCAAGTACTATGAACCACCACAGATAAAGGCCAAGAAGAAAGCCAAATTCCAGGAAAAAGGACATGACCTTGGCTTGAAGTATGAATATAGGCCAAGAAGAAAGCCAAATTCCAGGAAAAAGGACATGACCTTGGCTTGAAGTATGAATATATGAGAGCCAAAGGATTTTACTCGTGAGGTATCTCGGGTAATATCGGCGAACCCCGGCTTCCTATCTGGAGAGCGAAGGAGAGGTTCTAAAATACACTCGACTCTAAAGGAGTCAAAGCTACTGTAGAGAATATATTTTGATGTGGAAGAGGTGAGACTTACTAGAGAGGATAGGAAGCTCGAATGGAAGTATGGTTGATGAAATAGATAAGCAGAAATTCAAATGCAGCAACTCATTTCCCCCTCATTTGTGTAACAACTAACCAAAGTCATGGGAACTGAGCAGACCAAATATAAAAAGAGAAGAAGAAAGCTCCTATCAAACAAATAGAAACTCTCCCGGCGTGACGGAACTCTTTCTAAACAAATTCATTCACAAGTTAAAGACCTCTTCTCGTACAATACTTTTTCACTCTCGATCATTTTTAAAAGAAAATCAATTGAATCTGACACCACACATAGTCACCCAAATCATAATGTTAGCGATGCGATCGTCACAAAAGTCACTCTATTCCCCAAAAAACATTAGTTGCTTTACCGAAAAATAATCAGATACAAGAGTCTTGACCGAAAACAATCAGAAAAGATGAAAAGAAAATTGAACCATACGAAAGAAGGGTAGAAGAAAAGAAAATTTCCTACCACTATATTAACTATCTTATTACGACTACTACGATCAAAACAAACACCAAACCACGCAACAGAAGTCCCTTTAATCATTCACAATTGATGAGTTTACTTTGGAGGAAGTGAGGGGAAGAAGGAATCATATACAAACGCATGGACCACATGGTAGGAACACTGGCGGACCCAGAAATTTTTCTTAGGGTGTCCTCTTTTAAAAAATAATTTTAATAAAAATAATTAATAAAAATAAAATCGTAAATATGAAAATACCTTACTCGTACAGGTTAAAAAAGTCCATGATGTATTTTCATATTAGAAAATAATTGTAGAATACACTTGGTGATTATAGCGTTAAAAAATTCTCTATATACCCTACTAGACAATTATTCAGGAACTTATCGCATATTCGATTTGTAAACTTGTTCTTGATGTAACCCAAAGCTGAAAGACTCTTCAACACTTGTCGCACAATCATAAAATCAATACAAATTAAGGGTAGATTGAAATTAGTTTAGGTTAAAATAATTAGAGATAGGGAATGACTTTTTACTATTACACATTGTTCAAAATCGAACACCAAATGAGTTGTAGCTCAACGGAAATTAAGTTTATTAATAATAATAGTGTTCTAGATTTGAATTACCCAACCTATCATTTATATTTTTATACACAAATGATAGTAGGATAATCATTTTTTCAAATTTAAGGGGTGTCCCTCACTATCAATTATATTTTTTTTGTCTATACGTAAATTATCACCGGGGGTTGGATAATCATTTTCCCGACGGACACCCCTAAACCCTCTGGGTCCGCCCCTGGGTAGGAAGGATAACAACAATATGGCACACGTGTTGAAACCATGGTAAAAGAAACCGGATCATACCGGCCGGTTGAACCGGTAAAACCGGAAACCGGAGCCCTTCCGATACGATATCGTGTTTGGGTGCAGAATATCGTGCCGGCCGGTAAAACCGGTTTAAACGGTCTAAACCGAAATGCCGCCCGGTTTTGGTCTAACCGGAGGCAGGTTATTTGGGAAGCCGTACGTCGTTTGGAACAAAAAAAAAAAAAACCCTGGCTCTTCCATCGTCATATTCCAATCCATCTCCGCCCCCCAGCCAGACCAACCAAAGCCACAGCTCCCACTTCCTCCACCATTGTTGTAAGAAGCCAGATCCCACTGCCTTCCATCCTGCTGCGAACCCAACTGGAAGCAATGTCCATAATCACCATATCTGAACACCGCAGGCATTCACTCTCTCTGATAAACCCTTTTTCAAGAGGGCCTAATATTGGCTTAAACCCCTCTCGAACCCTAATCCGAACACCGCAGAATCAATTTCATCTCAATCTTCTTCACCGGTGGGTGACTAACTTCGATAACCTTCTTCTCTCGCCGGCTTCGTTCCAAATCTCGTTTCCAGGCAAAAATTTCCAAAAATGGCCGACTTGTTGGGAAGCGGCAGTTTCCTGGGGATTAGTAGCACGAGCTCGAGCGGCAAGCGAACGCCGAGGAGGAGAAACGACACTGTATCGGTAGAAGAGACGCTGGAGAGGTGGAAGAAACAAACGAAGAAAGGATGCATGAGAGGGAAAGGGGGCCCCGAGAATATGAACTGCAAGTACAGGGGAGTTCGGCAGAGGACTTGGGGGAAATGGGTAGCTGAGATTCGGGAGCCGGTTCGTGGAACCAGCATTTGGTGAGAGAGAGAGAGAGAGGGGAGACTGGAGAGAGAGGGGAGGAAGAATGGTAGATGGGGAAAGGGTTAAGTGCACGCGTAGTAATGATGGAAAGTTTTTTATAAAAATAATTATTGTTTAAAATTTCTTCTTTTTCTATTAATTTGCTAACTAGTTGTATTTATTCATTTATTATCCGATATATTCCGATACATCCGGTATTACTCCGAGACGATACCCTGATTTTGGCGGCACGGTTTTTTGACAAAAAATATATTTTATTATTACAAAAACGGTATTTACCGGTTCAAAACGGTTGAACCACGGTCGTACCACAAAATACCCTACCAGAAAGGAATCCGATATGATGACCGGTACGGTTTCCTTTACCATGGTTGAAACACAGATGATTTGAAAGTAAATAAAAGTGGTGTAGTTAGGGCACACATCTTCAGCATAAGATAACAAATCCTTATATGATAGAAGGAAGAATTGAAAAATTGTATGGGAGGTGAATATCAAATTAGTCTATGATATGATATTGTGGTATGATCGTGGTTTAATTATTTCATTCTGGTAAAATATTATATCGACAAAATATACTATCATATTCGAAAAATATCGAAATTATACAGGATATTTGAGGTAAATACTAACTAACTGAACATGAGAAACCAAGACACAGAAAGACACGTAGAGTAAAATTCACAACCTCACTAATTACTTTTAAAATTAAGTCTAACTAAACCCAATTATAAAGTGCATACATTACCTTTTGTCACAATTGTCAGAGAGAGGACTCGGTCTCTATTTGTGGAAGAGAGGAGTTCCACTTTAGAGGAAGAGAGAAAAGAATGGAGCAAGCATCAACTAGAGTTGTGTTGAAGAGGGGAGCTCTCTGCACAATTTACATTTTCCCGCTAATTTTTACTCAAAACAACATTATTTTGACGTTAGAAAATCGACTAAAATATCACGATCCATAAGTTCAACTGTCTGTACGCTACGATAAAACACCTACCAGTCTAGCACTAAACAATCATCTTCCTCGTCTTTCTCATTTGCGCCAGTTGGAGAGTGCGAATGAATTCTGATCCATTTCCATCCCCGCTACCTTCTTCCCGCGTTTTCCTTCCATCTGTTTTCTATTGGGAATGTGCAGGAGAAGAAGACGACGCTCAAGTACCTTCCCAAAACATCCCCCTTGACGCGTTATTTTCTCTTTTTACGGACGTGTCGGTGGCGAAGCAAAAACGAAAAAAACAATTAATCAAACAAATAATAAAAGCTGGTGCGGTGAATTGAGATTATCAAGGGAATCACTTTCTTTTTTACTCGGATTTATCAACTAATAAATGATTATTTAAGATGATCAAACAACCAAGTAATCATCATTAATGAGTGTCATTAACGAATTATGATATAATTTTTTATCCGTCAAAAATTAATTAAACAAAACTAATAAATATAAAAAAATATTGCTGTCCCAGTCCCCACCTTCCACAGCCAGCAGCATCCCTCGCTTAATAAATTTTCCGCTCCGCTTTTTAATCTCTTCCCTTTGGACCTAAGCAAAACCACCACACTCCCAAAAAAAATTCCCTTCACTTTCTTCCCCTTTTCTCAGAGCCCAAACACTTCCCCCAGACAATCTAAATCCCCATGGCCGAGAGAGTCTATCCAGCCAAACCTCCCGCCGCGGCGGCGGCGGCTCCACCAACCACCACCGCAGCCCCCGGCACGGCTCCCGCCTTCCCCGCAACGAAAGCCCAGCTCTACGGCGCCAACCGCCCCGCCTATCGCCCCCAACCCCAGCGCAAGTTCCGCCGCAGCCGCCGCAGCTGCTGCTGCTGCCTCTGCTTCTGGATAACCCTAATCATCCTCTCCCTCCTCTTACTCGCCGCAATCGCTGGCGCGGCCGTCTACGTCATCTACCGCCCCCACCGCCCCGACTTCACCGTCTCCGGAATCAAGATCTCGACCCTCAACGTCACCTCCAGCTCCCAGCTCGCCTCCAACATCGCCGTCAACATCACCGCCAGAAACCCCAACAAGAAGATCGTCTTCACCTACAATCCGATCGACATTTCGGTGTTCTCGACCGCCGACGGCGGCGTCAGCCTGGGGACGGCCAAGGTGCCGGCGTTCGTCCACGGGGCGAAGAACTCGACCGTGCTGAAGGCGGCGATTAGCGGTGGCCAGCAGCTGGACGACGCGGCGGCGAAGAAGCTGAGGGGCGAGCTGAAGGGGAAGACCAGCGTCGCTTTGAGGATCCGCGCGGATACCAAAGTGAAGGTGAAGATGGGAGGTTTGAAGACTCCGAGAGTTGCGATTCGAGTCGTCTGCTCCGGGATTAAGGCTACGGCGCCGACTGGGAAGTCGCCGACGACCGGCTCGGTGGCCGGCGCCGATTGTAAGGTGGATTTGAGGGTGAAGATCTGGAAGTGGACTTTCTGAAGAAGGTAGCGGTGGAGAAAATAAACAAAATGCTTAATTGTTTTCCTTTTTTTTTTTTAACTGTTTTCATCTGATATTTTGTTTTTGTTTTGGAGTTTATTTTTTGTTTTGTTTTGCATCAGATATATACGTTTTATAATTTTATATTGTGGGTGTTATTTGTAAATGGAGGATAATTTGGTGACTTGATTTGGCTGGGGATTTGTCGTGATTTAGTTGTTCAGACGTGCAAATTGACAAAGCAAGCTGCTAAATTATTATTAGTTAGTGCACCTAATTTTTACAGCTTATCTTAGTGATGAAATAAAAGTCAAATGAATGTGTAGACTGTAGAGGAACAATTAGGCTTGGGTTGTGTTTGATCAAGGCATGGATTTTGGTGTCACACATGTAATTATCGGAGAAGTTCGAATTTTATCGGATGTCTTCTATTATTATAATAGATCATGAACTATAATTTACATGTACGGAATTATATTAGTCACGTTTGCACGATGCATTTATTGTAGTCCAGAGAACATTACCGTTTTGCGTAAGAGAAAATGGGGGTGGTCATTTGAAGACATGATTTTTTTAAATCTCCGGTTTGTTTCATCTAGAGAATTGTACGACTCTTTTTGTTGGAGAACTTGCCATTCCAATTTTACATTCATTGATTTGGCAAATTTTTAGCTTGTTGCGAGATAATTAACCATTATTCTTTCTTTCACCATCAAATAAATTCTATAACACACATCAATTTACTTTAATTTTCGCCACAAAACAATATTAATTCAAATATCTACAATCCTTCAATTTCATCTGTTTTCAAATCTCACAATTTACAAAGTATCACCGAATTATAAATCCAACTATCGGCTACGGCGGAATTGTATTTGTATGTGAACAATTTCCACGTTATTTGATTTGTTCCTTAGATTAGATAGATGGTGGTGGACCACGAAGTGGGAAAGAGAATGCAGGAGGACTGCAGTTGTGCTGTGTATTAGCTGGCCATCTTCAATTAGTAGAAAATTTGCTCAATTATTTGACTAGCTCTATAGGGGTTTTCTGCGAACGTGACAGCCGAAATAAAATTTGTTTCAATAATACACATATGGAGCTGGCAACAACTGAGATTCTTTTCTTGCGTCTTTTAACAAAACATGACATGTAGACCTTAATTAATAATTATAGATTGACCCGGCTTAGATGATGTTTGTATGATAATTAGCACGATATGAGTTGTTCATGTGTGATTTGGAAAAATCTCCTCCGGAACTTGATTTGTTTACTAATGAATCAACCTAAGTAAATTCATGTTCAGCCACGAGGCTTGTGAACCAGCTCGACTCAGTGGTTTGCTAAATTCAAATCGTGAGTTGGCTCATTTTGAGCTCATGAGATGTCTCAACAATGTGGCTTATGGGACAACTCGACTACCGGCTTATGAGTGAATCGATGCTATCTCTGATGGGCTGGTTTGTTAAATTATGTATCTCACCGAATATAATATTTAATACTTTGAATATGTGAGCTAATATCTCTCATTTATAATATAAAAGATAGATTATGTATCATATATTGTTTTTTTTTTAAGAAAAGATATCAATTATATTGATCGGAAAAGATAGTTACATCCTGGAATTAAGTTAGGCCAGAAAATCAAACGAACGACTTGTAGTCGGGTACAATGTAAGGGCCTTTCTAGCCACCAAATGGGCTACCCTAATGCTACTTCGACTTACAAACCATGCACTGAAGCCACTATTTCCAGCAAAATACTGCACAATTTCCTCGAGAACAACCCCTACTCAATTGTCCCGCGTGTCCGCATGGTGAATCCTCTCAATGATTACCTGGGCATCATCTTCAAAGCAAACTGCAGAAAAACCCCGATCAAGGCACCAGTGGATCGCTTCACGGAGCGCTAGCAACTCCACAACCTTGTGGTCATCAATCATCGGGAACTGAACCCCCTTGGCCAAACATACTGCTCCATCCTGACTAAGAACAACCAAATCGCCCGCCGAATGAGACCCACTCTTCGTCGCCCCATCCCATCTGCAGACAATCGCGGCAGACTGCACCACATCCAGTGAATTGGACAATGAGTGCAAAGGGAGAATAACAGGATCAACATGTATAGAATCCCACTCCTGACATTGCTGATGGAACTGACGCATAAGAGCTGCAATCCCAAACTGCTTGCCCTCAAAGACAACCCTGTTTCTTGATCGCCAGATCCTCCAAAGGAGAGCAGCAAGCGCCATGACCAACTGAGGTTGATTGAGACGTGACATCAGTTTCTTCAGGAAAAGGGGAAAAGTGTCTCTAGGCAGTCCTTGACCAAGATAATCAAGTCCCGAATGATCCCACAAGGCCCTAGCCACCGGACAAGCAAGAAATAAATGCTCCATCATTTCCGAATCCGCCCATCAGATGGGACATCGAGGAGGTACCGCTACCTTTTTTTTCAATCAAAGCCTCCATTGTAGTAAGATTTCTGTTTAACACCTGCCAAACAAACACCTTCAATTTCGGGGGAAGAGGCGCATCCCATATGTGGATCCAACTGGAACGGTCCATCCAACTAGCAATGGATCTCCATCTACCCCTTTGTTGATCTAACAAGACAGCAAAATGGTAAGCCGATTTTACCGAAAAGACTCCATCCGCCGTGTAATGCCATATCAATTTATCTTCCACCGGGTCCCGAGTAAGAGGAATTGCTTGAATGGCACGACATGTAGATGGGGAAAATCACTGGTTGAGTTTAGAGTCACACCAGCGCCCCTCCCCTTGATACAACACCTCCGCCACATGCATGTCTCCCTCATCGGGCAACACTTGAGGATTATAAACAGGCGGATGGGGATGTAAATCAGGGATCCAGCTGGAACGTAGCAACGACGCCTTCTGCCCTTTACCGATTTGCCAGCGTAATCCCAACTCCAACAACTGCCTACCATGGAGGATACTCTGCCACCCCCAAGACGGGCGGGAGCGGGCAGTAGCCGTAAGGAAAGTCCTAGTCGAGAAGTACTTGCCTTTGTATACCTGGGCTAGGAGCGACTGTGGCTCATTAAGTATGCGCCAACCAATTTTTGCAAGGAGCACCTGGTTAAAGTGCTCAAAGCGACGAAACACCATTCCTCCATCATGCTTACTCCGGCACATATTCCGCCGAGACATCCTTCGAATCCTAGACCGACCCGCCTCAACACCCACCAAAATCTGGCTACATGTTTGTCGAAAAGACGACATAGGGAGAGGGGTAATTTGAAACAGGACATGACATGGAGAGGAAGAGCTAAAGCGGCCGATTTAATCAAAGTTTCTTTAGCTACCCAAGACAAAGCCCGCTGCTTCCACCCTTGCAAGCAGGTCAACAGCTTTTCCTCCAAGTAATGAAACATAGCCATTTTTTACTGAGTTATTAAAGAAGGCAAGCCCAAATACCTATTATGGACACCCACAACTCCAACTCCTAGAATCTTAGCCAAGAACTCCTGATCGGGTACTGCGATATTCTTACTAAAACAAACCGCCAACTTTGCCAAGTTAACCCTCTGGCCACTAAGTTCCTCATATTCATTCAAAACATCAATTAATTGTTCACATTCCTCCAGGGATCCTCTGAGGAATAAATAAGAATCATCATCAAAAAACATATGTGATATTCTTGGTGCCCAAGTGGAAACTCTAACCCCCTGTAACTTCCCCTCGGAGATAGCTTTCCGAAGAAGTGCCGCAAACCCCTCTATGAAAATCACAAACAGGAGCGGGGAGAGCGGATCACCTTGTCGTAGACCCCTTGAGGAAGTGAAAAAACCCGTCGTGGTACCATTCATCAAAATCGAGAAAGAAGCCGACCGAAGGCATTCATGTATTCATCCTGTCTAGGTTGAGATAACCCCACCTTATCCAAAGCTGCAAGAAGAAAATGACATTCGACTCTATCATAGACATTTTCCATGTCAACCTTCAAATCCATGTACCCTTTCTTCCCACGCGTTTTGATTTTCAAATAATGCATTAACTCGTGACCTAACAGGATATTTTCCATAGTTTGTCGTTCCTTTATGAAAGCATTCTGTCCATCAGAAATGATCTGCGGTAAGATGCAAGCCAGTCTTTCCGACATAATTTTCGTAATAATTTTATAAACAAACCGACACAAGCTTATTGGTCGGTGCTGCCTAATATTTTCCATATTGTCCACCTTTGGGATCAACGTTAGCCAGGTGTGATTAAAGATTTTCAACAATCTGCTTGTTGTAAAAAAGGAAGAAACAACATTGACCACATACTCGCCAACAATGTGCCAGCAGGTCTTGAAAAATTTACTAGTGAAACCATCCGATCCTGGGGCTTGAGTGGATCCCATTTTGAAAACCGTTCGTCGGATTTCACAAGGAAGGACAACCCTTGTAAGGTCGACATTCATCTCATCGGTCACATTCCGAGCTATGGGGAGAGCAGCCACTCGTTCGACCATGTTAATCACCTGTTTTTCAGAGGTGAAGAGAGTTGGGTAGAAATTAGTGGCTATATCCACCTTTCCTCTCTCGTCAGTAACCCAATCCCCATTATCATCCCGAAGCCCGACCACAAAATTATGTTTTCTACGAGCATATATTGTTTAAATATGAATTACTATGAAATACAAAATACCATGATATGAACTAAATAATATGATACCAAGAAAGTATATAAACATGAGATAAGTTTGTGATGAAAACCTCGAGCTTCTGGGGTTGTCATTCCTGTTGAGAATGCCAACCTTGATATCACTTCCTTGTTCGTCAATATGATCACTAATGGGAATACATTCTCGAAGCCAACACAATAGACCCACACGACCATCTTAGGTTGTTTCTGAGCATATTTTGAAACGATGAAGAACCCCCGACGTATCCGATGATGTAATTCGCCTCCACATTTTCTCATTATATTTGTTGGGGAATGCAACATTCTAGTTCCAAAACCTGGCACCTCGTTCAATCACCAAATGGGCTCAACTCAAGAAACCTTTTCTCAACAAGTATTTTCCTCTTACAAAGGCAATAAAACATCAAAACGAGATAATGGATTTCATGCATGTAGACAATGAGAGCTTGATCAAGGCATGTCAATCCTATGAGGGGATCTTATGAAAATTCCCAACCATGCTTAAGAAGAATGTAATATGATTACTATCTTCTTTAATGGGATCATAAGAGAATTTAGGGAAGCCCTTAAGAAGGTTTCTTACAGAGATTTTACGAGCATGAAACCTACAAAATCCTATGATTTGGTGGAGAGGATATGCTCGGATGAAAATGAATGGGCAGTGAGAAGAGTAGCCAAAGAAGAGGAGGACTACACGAGGTTAGTGGACCCACTAGTACTCTAGAAGTTCAGTTGGATGCCAAGTTTGATGCACTCGAACAATGAGTAGCCATTATGTCTCTTGGTCGAAAGGATGAGTTAGCATAATGCGATATATGCAAAGGACTCATCATCGAGATTTGTGCCCCCTGGGACTGTCTTGTTGAAAGATGTTTAGTACGTTAGCAATCAATGAAATCACGAGCAAGGTGGTATCTAGTATGCATTGAACGAGGGATACACAACGAACCATTAACGACCTCTGACTTGTGGTAATCGAGGAAGCTATTAGAAGATACTCCGAACAAAGATGCCAAGGACCGACTGTCATCAATGGTGCCCGACGAGGCCCTGACTGTGACTACCGTGATCGATCAGCTGAAAGCACACGAAAAGTGCTAGAGAGATGAAGGATGGAGAGAGAAAAAACAAGATTTCAAAATTCCAATTTCAAAACTCCAAATTAGAAAAAAGATACCATAAATTAATTATGAGACCAAAATCCAATTAAAAGCCCAAGACAAAGACCTAGCGAATGATTAAAGATTGCCATGCATATCTGAATTTTTAATGAATACTCAAAGACAAAAACTGCCATTTCTCGAATTATAAGAGGACAAGAACGTTCAAAAGGAGGGAGACAAAACACTGAGTTCCTTTCTAATAGGGAGGATTTAGATTTAATACAAAAAATGTCAAGTAACATATACGCTATGGCACTTAGGGCGCTCATGAATTCTCGTTGTGAAGGAAGATTCTTCAGTTCTTTCTTCTTCCCTCTTCTCCACTCACTCTGACCTATCGACCCTGCAACATTTGTTTAGTCTTCCCCACTCCGACGGCTCAACCTCTGCGACATAGAGGAACACTTGGGTAGTTGATGAAACAATTCTGACGCAATCCAACCCTGCTCCTGTTAGCTTTTCTCTAAGCTCCCATCCTCCATCGTCTCTCAACTTCGTCAAAGCGGTTGGGGAGGAGAGATTTATAGATGAAGGAGAATGAAGCAGTGAATCGAAAGTAAGCGGAATTATATGCGGAGAAGGCAACAATGGGGAGAAGAAGAAAGGAAATCGACGATGACATGAAAACGGCGGTGGTGACAATGGCTTTGACCATTGACGAACTCCAATTCGACGATACAAGTAAGTGATGATGCAACCACTTGCTCCGGTGAATCAAATCTAGGAATCAAATATGAGGTCGAATACGGGTTTCAGGATGGAGAAGTACACAACAGGATCGTGTCTGGGTCTCTAGGTTTCATTGTCCAGGAATCTATTCTAGGTTTTGCAGGATTGGCGAAAGCACGATAAGAAAGAGGTGTGATTTGAGGATGACGAGAGGAAGAGAGGGATGATCAATGCGATTTGGGGACATTCGCACCTCCATTAAAATGGGTAAAAGATACACATATAAGAAAGAATAACATCAGAGTTCTGAGCCTAAATGAGTTTGAATCCAAATTCGATGATGCAAGGAAGCGAATGTGGAGGAACAGTGAAAGAGGAGTTGACGCTCAATTTGAGTATCCACTCGAGCTTGGTGAGGAGGCAATGCCTCCATTCACCATCCATGAACAACTGTAGTGTAGGAATTGAAGTATTGAACTGGACACCATCATTGCTAGCTCTACTTGATGAAGGCAAGTGAAGAAGAACCAATTTACAGAGGAAGAAGTAAGAGGGAAGAAGAAGATCCGATGAACAATAAGGGGGGCAAAATAATATTTTTATTTTATCCACCAAAAGCCTGAGCCAAACCCACAAGCGTGGTATTTGGCCCAAATTCCTTATCCAAATTATATGGATTTTAAGTGAGTATTATAGCCCAACTCCTTCATAAATCTCTTAGATCAAAATTCACGATCCAAAAGACCCTTAAAACTAAAATCCATAATATAAAAGGCAACAAAAAACATAAATTTTTACTAAATCTAAAAAGAGAGGGACTAAAGTGCTAACACTAGCTTCAACAAATATGAACATTTCATTTGACGACTCTTTAATTTAAATAGGTTGACAACAATCAAGAGAAGAGGTTGTAGGGACACACTGGTCAATATGATAATTTGGGAGAAAGAGGGACCAACGTGTGTGTACACATTAAATGGGGGAAGAGGGTGCATTAATTTCACAAAATCTAAATCACAAACACAAGAAACCACACTAAAAAAACAAAACCACAAAGTTTAGAAAGCATACCAAAACGCCACAAATTTCATAAAAACATACCAGAAAACTCATAAAGCATAATAGAACCTCACCACATGTCAATTGAAGCATGACAGGAACTTTAGAAAGCATATCACAAGTTAATTAATGCACACCATAAGTTTATTAAATCACACCACAAGTTTCTTAGAGCTAACCACAAGTTCATCTAAGCACACCATAAGTTTATTAAAGCACACCACAAGTTTCTGAAAATATACTACAAGTCCAATAACGCATACCACAAGTTTTTGTAAAGTAAACTGTAAACCACAACTCTTATTAACCACACCACAATTAGAATTACACCTAATTTCAATTAGTCCATCCTCGCTTGAACCCCCCCCCCCCCCCCCCCCCACCACCACCATAATGATCAAACTACTATGCATTCCATCCACGCACGCAACTAATTAAATGTAGTTACTAGATTGAAAAGGGATTTTGCTTTTAACATGTAACCGAGCTTCTTTGGGTTAATAATCCAACACCATACAGTACTTCCATTGCATTCGTCCATATAGATATAAGGATTAATATATAACTCATTCCTATACTTAATGGTCTATTGCAAGCTCCCACAATCTCCACCATAACTAATTCTACAAATTTAACGAACGAGGATAAAACCCTTACCTCTAACACTAGCCCAAAGCACGATTTGAGGCTTCCCGGACGTCAAATCCTCGTGGTCAATCGTCGTTCGCCGTAATCCCGCCTCCAAAACTATGGAAGAGAGACGACGATCCAGAGCTACCGCGCCGGCGAACAGAGGACACGACGTACGGAGGAAACAGTGCGCGTTCGGCGGCTCCCGGCTTGCGCCTCTGCCAGCTGTCGTACCGTTTGGGAGCTCGCTTGCTACTGGTGGAGGGAGGGGAGGTTGGAGATGAGAACTGGAAGGTGGCAGTGGTGGTTGATCGCGCAAGGGGGAAGAGGGAGGCAAGGCGGCCCTGCATCATCTTTCTTCAGGTCAGGTAGACTCTTACACAACTTTAATCATACTTTGATTACCTTACTTCCGAAAGTGCCAAATGCTGACTCGATGAAACAGATGCACCCCATTGGATTATGTCAAGTCTTTTATAAGATCATATCTAAGGTCCTATCTTCTAGGTTGAGTTCAGTCATGCCTTCGGTTGTTAGTGATGCTCAGAATGGTTTTGTTAAAGGAAGAGATATCTCTGACAACATTCTTATCGCTCAAGAATTTATGCACTAACTGAAAACCAAAAATCAAGGTAAGGAGAAATGGATGGCTTTAAAACTTGATATTGAGAAAGCGTAAGATCGGGTCGAGTGGGGTTTCCTGTTTGCTGTCATGGAAGCGTTGTGTTTTGATGCCTCATGGCTGAAGTTAATCAAGGCCTGTGTAACAACGGTCACCTTCTCTGTGCTCCTGAATAGCAACGTACATGGGTATTTCCACCCGGAACGGGGTATCCGACAAGGTGATCCACTCTCCCCCCCTCTTATTTGACCTTTATACTGAAGCTTTTTCAACTTTGATTACCAATGCTCTTGCCTCGAAACAATTACATGGTCTGAAAATTCATCACCTTGCTCCAATAACATCCCATTTGTTATTTGCTGATGACACGTATTTGTTTTTGCGAGCATCATCCGTGGAGTGCACTCATCTTATGCAGTTGCTGACTGTGTATGAGGCAGCAAGTGGACAAAAGATTAATTTGCAGAAATCAAAGGTGTGCTTCAGTGCTAATGTTTCGACTCAGGAAGCCTTGGATCTGGCAGCTATCTTGGGTGTGGATTCAATTGGGGAACTCGACAAATACCTAGGCCTCCCTACCCAAATTCAACGTTCGAATGTTCAAACTTTCCGGTTTATTGAAGATGCACTAGCCCGACGTATTCATAACTGGAAATCAAAGGCGCTCTCGTTGGCTGGGAAAGAGGTAGTCATCAAGGCTGTGGGATCACCGACTCCTGTCTATGCAATGCTGTCCTTTCGATTACCCTCTACTACTTGTCGGCGGATGAATGGGATGCTCTCAAGGTTTTGGTGGGCTGGTCAGGATAAAGATAGAGGGATGCATTGGATCTTCTGGTCAGCTTTATGTGTCAGCAAATTCCGTGGAGGACTTGGTTTCCGAGACTTTGACATCTTTAACGTGGCTATGCTCGCTAAGCAAGCGTGGAAGATTCTTCTGCAACCTCAGTCTACTTTGGCAAAGATGTATAAGGCCCATTACCACGCTCATTGTGATTTCCTCTCAGCTCAGGTGGGAAACCGGCCATCGTGGGCGTGGTAAGGGGTTCTCAAGGGTCGCAAGTTACTCCAGAAAGGTCTTCGGTGGCAAGTGGGATGTGGCACGACCATTTTAATTCTTCATGATTCATGGCTGCCCACTTCCCCTCCTTCTTCTCCAACCCTCCTTCCTAGGGGTGGCAACCGGTCGGTTTCGGTTTAACCGAAAACCGAAAACTTGGTTATCGGTTAAACCGAGCCACCCCCAATAGCTACCGACCACCGACCGTGAGAGTGGTCACGGTTAGCCGGCCAACCGACCGACCGGTTTCGGTTTTAGGCTCGGTTAGCTGGCCAACCGGAAAATACCCTTTCTAAAAATAAAAAATTAAAAGCATCACTCCTCACCCCTCACTTCTCGATTCTTCTTCCTTTCCAGAACAGCGACGCCCTCTCTTCTCGATTCTTCTTCCGCCCTTCTTCTTCTTCCTTTCTAGATTAGCCGACCGCCCTTCTTCTTCTTCCTTTCCAGAGCAGCGACCGCCGGTTGCTACCGCTCCCACCTTCTCCTTCTTCTCCGTCCCAATCGACCGACGGAGCAGATGAGCAGCGGCTGAGATCTGGCTGCATGGCTGCAAGGAAAAGAAGAGGAAGGGGGATCGACGCTCGACGGAGCGATGGCCGATGGGTAAGTGACCGCCTCCCTCTCTGCTTTGTCTGCTGGCTCGCGCTCGACGGAGCGATGGCCGATGGGGTCGTCGGGGAAGGCGGGGATGGCGATTGGGTCGACAGAGATGGTGATTGGGTTGTCGGGGAAGGCGGAGATGGCGATGGGGTCGTCGGGGAAGGCGGGGATGGTGGTTGGTGGCTGGCGTCGGCGGAGAATCGAACGGAAGAGGTGAGAGGGTTTTTGATTTGGGAATGGAGGATGGGCCGATAGGGTTCGTTTGGTGAAGGGGAACGGGGTCGTTTGGTGAAGGGGAACGAGGTCGTTTGTGGGGGGACGGGGTCGTTTGGTCGCAGGGATGGCTGGCCGGTTATTTCCGGTTAGCCGAGTAACCGAGTCTCGGTTACACGGTTAGCCGAAAATAGCACGGCCACTACCGATACCCGACCGCAGTCATTAACCGTCGGTTTCCGGTTAGCTGTTAACCGACTGGTTACCGGTTAAACCGGTCGGATAACCGCAAACCGGAAATTGATCCGCCACCCCTACTCCTTCCTGGCGTCAATCTGGGTAATCCTTATGCTGCTTCCCTTATCCATCCCCTATCCCGCACCTGGAATGCTGAGTTCCTTCGTTCGCATTTCACTAGTGAGAGTGTTAAATGGATTCTGTCGATTCCGCTTCCGGCCACTCCGCAATCCGATAGGCTCATTTGGCACTACTCATCTTCAGGGCTTTATACTGTAAAGACAGGGTATCACTTACTCTCGGACGAACGATTGGAGATGTTCGATGCCCTTCCCCCTTACCTGGATATCAAGTTCTGGAAATTGTTATGGAGTTTACCTGTTCCCCCTAAACTGAGGTTCTTCCTTTGGAGGGTTGTTCGAGGATTCCTTCCTTGTCTAGCTATCCTTCACGGAAAATCCTTGAGTGAATCGAATATATGCCCTGTGTGTTCTGCTGATATAGAAACCACATCGCATTGTCTATTTGATTGCAGGATAGCTAGCGAGGTGTGGCGCTTGGCGGGGAAAAAACACATACGAGCTGCTGTTGCTACCAAACCTATTGACCTAGCATGGGCACATCTCTTTTTCTCTATGCAGATTAATAAGCTGGATTTGGCTGAGTTGGTTTTCCTTTCATGGCGCGTGTGGAAAGGGCGGTGTTGGTCATGCTATGACCATATCCAATATCTCCCAAGGCCACTGCACAGACAGTACCTTCACCAAAGGGATGAATGGGTTGCTGCTTCTTCCACAGCAACTAGAGGGGATTCTTCTCTTAGGCGAACTCCTAATCCTTCCCCGTGGCAATTTGCCCACCGAATGGACTGTTACTCTGCTTTGATGGTGCCACCCGTGGAAATTCAGGCGGAAGTGTTGGGTTTGTTGGTTTCTCAACTACTTACTCGATAATCTGTGCGCTCGGTAAGTACTATGATGGCTTGTCTGACCCATTTTTAATTGAGTTGCTGGCCTTAAGGGATGCTATGGATTGGTGCCTAATGCAAGGTGTTCGCTCTGTTTGTTTTTGTGATGATTCCCAACTGGTGATCCGGCGAGTGTTGGCAAATGATATTCATCATGATCGAGGGGGAGCGATACTAGAAGAAGTTTAGTTGATGAAGGCCTCGTTTGAGTTTGTTTATTTTTGTTTTTTCTTCTCGTAGAACTAACAGGGCTGCCAATTGCGTGGCGAAAACGGCTCTTGAATCGATAGTTCAGCACTTGGCTGACTACCGCTATTTATTTTCCAACTCTTTGTAATTCCCTACCTATTACCTTCCTACCTAAGTAAAAAAAAAAAAAATTTAAGGGTGAATTTGACAATTTGTGAAAAGTCTAGGCACCGGGTGTGACAATTACATTTACTAACCGCTTCGATTGATCAATAAAAAAATAGCTTTCCGTAAAAAAAAAAAAATGTAAAGGCCTTCATGGACAAAGGCTCAAGTTATTCAATTCAATCCAGGGACTGGTCCAGGCCCAATTTCTCGCCTCTCCGTAGATTCTTCTAGACTTTAGTCAACACAAAACGAAAAACAAAACCCCTCAAAAACCCTACACAACTACCAGCAAGAGCTTCAGCTCAGCCATTTTCCGCGAGCTCTCATTGGGGAATTTTGTCCAAGTGTTCTTCACGTTATAGGATCATCATTATCATCATCATGTACCGAATTGCTTCCAGACTTGCTTCTTTAGCGCGGTAATTCATATCTTCGTTCCATTTTGGTCCCTCTCATTTCGTATTAGCTGCTTCTGCTCCCAGAGGCTCCGTGTCTCTAACCTGAACTCCTCCCTTTTTCTTGCAGCTCAAGTGCTTCGAAGAAAGTGGTAAGAGTTGAATTTCGCTTTCCCATCGAGGAACTTGGCTTTCGATTTTGTTTTCCTTCTTTCTCTTTCTGACCGTCTCTGTCCTGGAAATGGGGAATTTGAACGAGTTGTTCATATAAACTCAAATTGGGTCCTTTGAGCATCACTGTATAGAATGATCTTTAGCGTTCAGTGTTGCATTAATTAGACTAAAGGGAGGATGTAGTTTTTTTTGGGTTCTAAGACCCTTTCTGGTTCTTTGTTTTAGGGAGATTAAACAGTTTATCGTTCCTTCATCCGTCCATTTTTGGATATATGACAGGTGTATAGTAGGGTTATCAGTAACAGAAGTTATGTGGCAAAGGATATCAATTTCGGGGTTGGGGCTCGTGCAGCAATGCTGCAGGGTGTTATTGAGGTGGCAGATGCTGTAAAAGTCACAATGGGACCAAGGGTACTGGATCTTTCTATCTCCTTTGCTGTGTTCAAGATCGCATAGAAGGTTATAATCTTCATTGTTATGCATTTATTGGTTCTTGGTCTGATGCAGGGGCGGAATGTTATAATCGAGAAAAGCAACGGGAGCCCCAAGGTAACCAAGGACGGTGTTACTGTTGCTAAAAGCATCCAATTCAAGGACAGAAGCAAAAATGTTGGTGCTGATCTTGTGAAGCAGGTTGCCAATGCTACTAATACTGCTGCAGGGGATGGTAATATTCTCTTGGTATTGACTTCTCCTAGTTTGAATGGCAAGAATTATACGAGTTGCCACACTTGGTGGAGAAATTTTTTCATTGATGCAGTTTCTAAATGCGATTTCCCCCCACTTATGTGGCCGCAGGTACAACTTGTGCTACTGTGCTGACTCAGGCAATACTAACTGAGGGGTGCAAGTCTGTAGCTGCTGGTGTAAATGTGATGGATGTGCGGAATGGTATTAATATGGCTGTTGATGCTGTTGTTTCTGATTTGAAGAAGGGAGCAGTAATGATAAGCACACCGGAAGAAATTACACAGGCATGCAGTTTCCCGTAGTTTCTGATTTCCTGCTAATTTATTGTCCCTATTTGTGGGATAGCTAACTACTAATGGCAACGAACAACAAAGGGTGAATATGTTAGTCAAAATAACCTAAGTTATGATGATTAGGTGGGCACGATTTCTGCAAATGGTGAGCGGGAGATTGGAGAACTTATAGCAAGAGCAATGGAGAAAGTTGGGAAGGAAGGAGTAATCACTGTTGCTGTGAGCATCCTTTCTTCCTTCTGCTTTGATATATGCTCTCCGGTGACTATTTCAGTTACAGGTTTCTTATGGGTTCCGACTTTTCCAGGATGGAAATACTTTGGATAACGAGTTGGAAGTAGTGGAAGGATTAAAGTTAGCTCGAGGCTACATTTCCCCATACTTTATTACTGATCAGAAGACCCAAAAATGTGTAAGCTTCAGTTCTTTGTCTTTAGCATGAATATCTGATTCTGTTTATTAAATGACCAATTGTTAAGATTCATGCAGGAACTCGAGAATCCTATGATTCTCATTCATGAAAAGAAAATTTCAGATGTGGCATCCCTTGTGAAAATATTGGAGTTTACCGTCAATGTAAAGCTTCACTTTTCCTAGTTTGTTGTTAAATGAACGATCCATCGACTGGATGCATAAATATAGTTTCTAATTCTAATATGTTTGCATTTTCTACCTTATTACTTGTATAGAAAAATAGGCCGCTCCTGGTGGTGGCAGAAGATGTGGAGAGTGAAGCTTTGGCTATGCTTATACTGAACAAGCATCATGCTGGAGTGAAGGTGATTAAATTACTTCAATCTTCATATTGCTCATATCTGTGGCATTTATGATTTAACATTTTACAATTTTGTCCAGGTTTGTGCTATCAAGGCTCCCGGCTTTGGGGAGAATAGACGAGCAAGTTTGGACGATCTTGCTGTTTTCACTGGTGGAGAGGTGATGAAACATTCTTACATAATGTCTGTACCTTATTTATTACTTTGTTGTATTGGCCTGAGAAACTCTGTTGTCCTCAGGTTCTCAGTGAAGATCGTGGGTTAACTCTTGACAAGTTTCAGCCTGAAATGTTTGGATCTGCTAAAAAGGTCTGCTTATAAGTAAACACCGTATTTTATTATTTTCGGTACTTGTCCAAATAAAAACTGACATATTCAATGGCAGATCACTGTTTCTCTGGATGACTCGATAATCATGCATGGTGGTGGAGATAAGAAGGAGATTGAAGAAAGATGTGACCAGGTATATGAAGTTAGCTTCAGATTTGTTTTGCTTACTCTTCGATTAATCTAACTGTGTTTGTTCAATTTCCAGCTTAGGACGTCCATAGAGAAGAGCACCTCAATGTTTGACAAGGAAAAAGCACAAGAGAGATTGTCAAAGCTGTCTGGTGGTGTTGCTGTCTTCAAGGTTTGTTATTCAGTCATCCGGATTTATGCATGCACTCACAGTCACAGCCGTAGAATCCCACATCTTCCTACTGGGTTTACCGTAATAGCTATCGGGAAATAATTGTCTAGACTGGTATTTATCTTCTTCCGAAGTTAGTAATAATCTTTTTTCTCGTAGGTTGGCGGCATTAGTGAAGTAGAAGTTGGAGAGAAAAAAGACAGAGTAACAGATGCCTTGAATGCAACCAAAGCGGCAGTTGAAGAGGGTATTGTTCCAGGTAGGTTAACATTGATCTCAAGAGTGAAATTCTTCAGTCAACTCAAAAGTCCAGTAAGGTGACTTCACCATTTCCCCTTTCAGGAGGTGGCGTTGCTCTTCTGTATGCTTCAAAGGGTTTGGACAACCTTAAAGCTGAAAATGAGGACCAGAAAAGGGGCATTGAAATAATCCAGAATGCTCTCAAGGTTCGTCCCATTCCTCCCTACCACACAACTTTTCCTTCACATTGACTTAATTGTCATCTAATTTATTTTTTCTGGGGTTGATCTAGGCACCTGCACATACAATAGTATCAAATGCTGGCTTTGATGCTGCAGTAGTTCTTGGCAAATTGTTGGATCAAGAGAATCATAACCTGGGTTTTGATGCTGCCAAAGGTTGGTTTGTCTAACTCTTCTTTGTACGAGTTTCGGTTAGATAGCATGCAACTCTTGCCAACTGCACCATTGACTATGTGATGATGATGGTGGTGAAACAGGTGAATATGTGGACATGGTGAAAGAAGGAATTATAGATCCACTGAAGGTCATTAGGACAGCCTTAGTAGATGCTGCCAGGTAACCAATTTTTCACGGATTGCATGAAAGTTTTTGTTTATCCGATTACCATTTTGCATTTCTCTGAACAAGAATGGTATCGTTCGTACACATTCTGGTTTGCAGTGTCTCGTTGCTGTTGACGACCACAGAGGCTTCTGTGACGGAGAATCCAAACGAGAAGAAACCTCCCAGTCGGATGCCAAATATGGGTGATATGTACTAGATATCATATTGCACAGATGCGGCTAGTATATTCTCTTAGTGATAGGTTGTTTCAGCGGTCCTTGTTGGTCGAAAATTTTGAAGTAGTCTTGTAGAACTACCGAAGGCAGATTCGTAAACAGGCAAAAACTTGGACCTTGGAACTGTGGTGGAGGGAAATATGCGCCAGGGTGGGCTTAGTGATTACAATTCACTTTGTGGAGACTTGGTGTCAAAGCAATGAACTTGGTAAAAAATTGTTGATTAAGTTCTGGCAGTAGCATTTTGAGGGCAAGTCTTACCATCATACATCAAAACCGAAAAAAAACAAATCCAACTAGAGATCCAAGTTGCAATTGCGTGTCCTATAATCCTATTATATATGTTTGCTTAGGTTGACCTTCATTATTCAGCCATTTCCTTGCGTTTGGATTGTCGTTTAAGAAAGCTTGCTGAAAATAATGCAACAACTAATAAGCTTGTTTTTCTGTTCCCAACTTGCTAGCTAGTTGACATTGGAGCATGAGTTGTTGCTCCTTTAATTTGCCTGCTGATTATAAGTTGACTTTTGATTCAATAAGCGAAATCTGGCTACCGTGCTATTATTCTCATCAGGGAGAGGCCTTTAACTTGGTTGGCGTACCTTCCATTAAAGGGGCAACTCACAAATTGTTGTATTTGTGGGTGACCTCATGGACAGGGATAGCAAAAATATTCGTAACCGTGGATATCCACCCGAATCCGTCCTAATCGGGTAGGGTAAAACCCGAACCCGAAGCATTTTTCGTGAGGACGGGTAAAACCCGAACCCGAATGTTGCGGGTAATGGGTGGGCATGGTTATCTCACTATCCAACCCGAACCCGCCCGATTACACACATACATATGTATTTTGTCTAGAAATAATCATTATTTTTCTCTAGAATATTTTATATTTAGCATATAAATATAATATTTTCATGAAATTATGTTGTTTTAATTAATTTTCGTCATTCTAGTGAATTATTGTCGTACTTTTCCTCTTACGTAATGTGAGTATACGTGTGAATGTTAATATATTGGTTGGAATTATATGGATAAATTATTACCCATGGATAACCGTGGATACCCGAAACCCGAACGGGTATGGGCATGGTTTTGATTTTCTACCCGTTTCTCGTATGGGTACAGGTATGGGTAAAACCCGAACTACATTGGGTAGGGTAACGGATATGCACTATCCGCCCCCGACCCGACCCATTGCCATCCCTACTCATGGACAACTCGATGAATGTGATTGTTTATGTTAGGTGTCCTGCACCATAGTGTCTTTATTTTGGTACACTTTTTAGTATTGTACTATGCAACATTGCAAATAATCTTGTTCAACTATGGAACTTAACATGCAAGCCCCTCAAGGCCTCAACTATACCAATGTTCTCCCTTAACCCGTTTGGTCTGGCGAAACAGGGATTGGTCCAGTGGTTACACCATTGGTTTTGAAACTGGAATCTTCAGATTCAAATCTTAAGTAACACCTAACTTTAAAAATGAAAATCGATATCGTCCGTATATGCCATTTTGTCTAGAAATCGGCAAAGATAAAACAAATTGTGAGGTTTCATTTTACAAAATCCATGAAACGAGTAAACAATGGCCTGAGTTCAGGTCCTTAAACCTCTTTTTTAAGGATGATCTTAAAGCGTTGTGATTGGCTGATTCAATTTTTGGTAGTTAATGAGGAGTTATTAGTTAATTAGTTGTTAGGGGTATTTAGGAAATTATAATTAAATTAAAAACGTTCGGCATAGTCTTTCTCTTTCCTAATTATTACTGTTTTCAAGGCCATTAGTAGCATTTCTTGGCCATCGTTAATATGGTTTCAATTTGGCTTTACAAATTTTCTTCATTAATAATCTCCATTGACCATTATTATTATTATTATTATTATTATTATTATATTATTATTATTATTTTTAGCGCCATTGTCAATCTTTTTAAACATGCACTATTATTTGTCATGGGTATCATTAACTAGTAGTCTAGTACTATTAATCAATATGTAGTTATTATCAACGTTTCGGTGGCCATTATTATTAATTTGATTGAGCACTATCAATATTTTTTTAAGTGGGCTCTCGCTAACATTATGGTTAAATTAACGTGTATTATTGATTGGCCGATATCCATCATTATTAACGATTATTTTTCCTTTATAATTAATAATATGCATATCCATGACATAATTATCTTATTATTAATTACATTCCACTAGTAACGATTCATTTAAAATTATTAACGTGTATTTTTTCTTTCGTATTAATAACCGTGACGCCATTATAAAAAAAAATTAAACCGTGGCTCCCTTGATTCTCACTAGTATCATTAAGATTAACTATTATTCAGTATGTAGTCATTATCAACATTTCGTTGCCCATTATTAATATTTTTAAGACGGTTAGCAATAGTTTTTGAAGTGGTCTCTTACTAACATTATGGTTGAATTAACGTATACTATTATTGTCTTGTGAGCATTATTAACGATTTTTTTTCTTTATTAATAATAATATGCATCTCCATAGCGTATAGTTGTCTTATTATTAATTTGTTTTCACCATTAACAATTATTTTTCCATTATTAACAATTATCTTTCCTTTAGTATTATTAACCCTGGCGCCATGATCAATTTTTTTAAACCGTGTCTCACTTGATTCTTATTATTATCATTAACGTTAACTATTAATCTGGGTGTGGTCATCATCAACATTTTGTTGCCCATTGTTTATATTTTGAAGGCCGTTAGCAATAGTTTTCGACGTGTACTTTCAGTAACCTAGTGTTTGAAGTAACATGTACTAATATAACTCTGACAATTGTTAACGTTTATTGCACTATTATTAATAGTTTCCATGCCGGCGGCAGATCAGATATGTCGGGATGGCGATGCCGACGAAGCGGGAAATGGCGGGACGCCGATGAGTTTGGAGAGGAAGGGAATATGGCGAGTGGCAGCGAGGTTACTTACGGCGGAAAGGCGGCGAGATGGTGGGATGACGATGGCAACTCAGCAAAGCTATTGTAGTCTTCAACGGGAAGACGATGGCGAGTTCGGAGACGAAGGGACGATGGAAACGGTTTTAGGGTTGGGAGGAGGAGGGTTTTTTTTTAAATGATAATTAGGATTTTTATTGTTTTTCTTTTTTAATACTAATTGCATTTATTTTTATTATATTTCAGTTTTACCCTTATAGGTAGTTAGCCAATGATTACTAATGATTTTCTCTCTCCTTCTCCTATTGGCTGAAAATGGTTTAAGATCCTCCTTAAAGAATAGGCCTTAAGGACCTGATCTGACCCGGTAAACAATTGCTCCTTCGAGTAGGGACCCATCAAAGCCATATGCGCCGCCCCTCTCCGATTGACTAGAGAGCAGAAGGGACGGACCTGAGACACGATGAGGAATCAGAGTCGCCAGTTATTGTTTTTTTATTATTAAATTGACAAGGTTTGAGTTTGGAGAATTAGGAATTTTGATTCACCTACTGAAAGTCAGGATACAATATCATGCTCCGATTTCCAAATGAAATGTGGTATTTGCAAATACGTGGTATTTGCAAATCTATATCATCCGTTTGCTTGTTGGATTTGAAAATGAAGGTTTTTAGTTTTGAAAACCTTTGGATTTATGATGGATTTGGTTTATTTGGTATTTGAAAGATAACATTGTTTGTTTAGTTGATTTTGATCATGGATTTAAAGATTTTTGTACCATGGGTCTCAACTCCTTGCTTTCAATGGCCAAATACCAAATGAAATGTGGTATTTGCAAATACGTGGGGCCCACGGATTTGGACATAAAAATGTCCAAATCTGTGGCCCCACAGATTTGTATATCTCAACAAACAAAGTTTTTATATCAAATACATAATGCTTTGTATTTAGGTACCAAATACATCACCCAAATCCCACAAGCAAACGACACCAACATATGCATTATCTATGGTCTTAAAAGTTAAAATTTGTAATTTTGTAGCTTGTTTGTAAACATTCTCAATACATACATGGGCCAACCAAAAATTCCCTTTTCTATTAGGTACAACCTAATACAACATTGTTTATGAGAAAAATGATATTGTAACGGCTCAGAGTATGTAGATCGAAAGGCAGGAACTACATATATAATACCACTTGCAACAAGTCTTTGGAACAGCCTGCCCCATTCTCATTATCAACAAAGGGATCGATTAGGGTAACTAGCTTGGAATTTCTTCGAAGATGACAGTTTCTCTGGGAAAGTTGGCCGCAATAGCGTTGCTGCTGCTGCATCTTCTGCCTGCAGATGATATCCCTTCCTCCTCTGCGCTGCGGCCTTGTGGTAATATACAAAACTATATATGCTCCCGTACTGTGTCTATGTTGTTCTGACAATTATGTCTTCCTACGTAATCATGTCGTTCATTCGTTCTTAGCCCCAAACCTTCTCTGTTTTGCAGGTTACAATAGGGATAGTACTCAACTGCAAATGGATAACTGGAGATCAGAAGCAGATGGCGTCAAGAAGTCTGAAAATGGTGGATATTTTGCTGAGATTTCAACCAGAAACTCAGCAGCGATCCTCCGAAGAAGCTTGGGAACAAAAGTTCTGCCGAAGCGAGCACCACCACCGCCCATCGTGAATCGAAAGAAAGCACATAAGGCAATTTCTCAACTCCTCCAACAAAATTTGATCATCTATGTGATTTCCCCTAGCTTATTGTGTTATGTTACATGATGCTTTTTTTCTCCTGCCTTTGTGGATTTGTTTATGTAGGTGGCATAATCTAGTTGTGGGATGTGGCTGTTTATACATTGGTCTTTCAGAGATGAAGGATGAGGAGGAGGAACCAAGGAAGTGTTGCTCAAACGAAAAGGAAGAACAAGAACGCGGAAGGCATCAACGTGTAGATTGATTAATCTACAGCCAGATAGGAATTGATAATTCAATTGATATATAATCAAAATACGGTGTTCTTAGCTAATTAGCATAAATGGTCATATATGTTTTACTTTGTACAAAATAATCACGAAAATTTAATTCGGCATGGTTGGATTATAACACAGGTTAGAGGGTTGTAACAAAATGATCAATTTCATCTATCTCCATCCGAAAATACCTTAAATTTGAGCAAATGTCCATATTCTGAATGTGGAGTAACTTCACTGTGCACATCCCTATAAAAAAAACCACATCAAAATCCCATTCAAGATTCTCCACAAAATAATATAAAATCCGCCTTCAGTTTAGTTTCATGGACAATCAAGAAATTCCCTTCAATGGACCTAGACTCTACCGCAATTTTTTTTTATAGCTCACGGAAAGAGAATAGTGATGAACGAAACTCATTGATTTCCTTTCACTATCAATTAAGGGATGGTTTGGAGAACGGGATTCAGGGCGTGAATTCATTGAATTAGTAGATTTTGTAAAAATTATATTTTTGTTATTTTTTTGTATTGTAGATTTTAGATTTAGAGATTTCAAATCTCTAAAATATGCGGATATCAAATCTCTCATAATCAGAGAGATTCTATATCTTGATTCGTGGAATTTTTTCTCTTCTTTTTATTTACTTATTTTTCATATTAAATATATTTATCAACAAAGTTTTTAATATTTCTCGAAATACTCTAATTTTTTATTAAGGATAAACATGTTATTTAATATAAAATTAAATTTTTTATTTTCATTGAATGTTAACAATCACAGTTACCAAACAATAGACATTTTAAAATCCATTTTCAACAATCCAAAGTTTTAGAATCTTTAAATCGTTGACAATCTATAGATTTAAACTCATATTCTCCAAACGAACCCTAAGCCTCCATCCGGTTGCTCAACCATATGCACCTTTCAAAAGACCAAAACGTCTGCACAAAGCAGCATCAAACTCATTCCAAAGCAAGAATGGACGTCGAGACTCCATCTCCAAACCCACACATCTGACCTACATCCAAAGTGAGTTGCCTCCTTCTCAACTTTCTCATGCTCAGGTATACCATACAATCCAAACAAGTTTTCACACAACCTAATCCATTTTTTAGGACTTTCACCATTGAAATAAGGAAATTCAAAAGCAGAATAGAGGTGAAATTATCATAAGGTTGACCGTTGATGACACGTGAAGTGTATATTCTAGACCCTCCGTATTGTAAGTTGTGACAAAAAGTGCGTACATTTCCCATCATTATTGTCACAATGCTTTCAATAATTGTTGTGATTGCTTCAAGTATGTTCCAGCAACCTTAGAATTGCTTTTATATAATTGATGCACTTTTGGGTAGCGTTTTGTACATTTTAAGGATCGAGCACCCTAGTGGGCACTTGGAAGCCGTAGGAAACATCGAGCCCAAGTTGTTGGAGCAAGAATTCAAAGACTGGACGCCAATAAAGAAAGATGCCAACGATGTCGTTTTAACTGAAGGAAAGAGCGGACAAGGTGTCGTTTTGATGGAACCAACCACTTCGTCAAGAAGTTATCTAGAAGCAATCTGATTTGCTGGTCACATGTGTTGGGACTTTTTGGACGAGGGTACACGTACGATAGCCCGAGACCGGGTGACTAGGATTATGGTAGAGTTTTGAACTACGTTCACTTTCCGTAAAGAATATTTCCACCGTTTACAAAGCCTTGAGTTACAGAAAATTTCTTCAAAGGATAAAACTATCAACACTTTAGGTTCTAGGCTTAAGTACCTAAAGTATACTTCGCAACTTTCTTAGGAAGAAGAGAATCAAGTTCGTTGTCTCACCATTAACCAAGTCCTTACTTATATAGAGGACGAAACAATGTATTGAAAGATTGCAACCTTTCAATATAATGGCCGGTTGGGAGGAACCGCCAGTCCAACTTGGCCAAGCAACACAACACTTCATTTTAAAATGAAACGTTGCCCCAGGAAATGTTGCCAATTAATTGGCCATGCATTTCAAACTGAAACCTTGTTATTTCAATTCAAGCACTCCCTGCAAGGAAACGTGTCCTTTGGTGGGAAAAACTGCCATTACCAAATTCAATGCAACCGGTCCATTAAACCTTTGGTTCAACCAAATTACATGCAACCAGTTCATCACATTTTGGTTCGACCAAATTCCAACAATATGTTTGCAGACTTCTGATTGGCAAAATGACGTAGAAGAGGCAGTTTTTACTCCTTGTAAAGCCTAATGGAAAAGCTATAAATAGGGCACTAGAGCTAGAGTTCGGGGGAGGGGGGGGGGGGGGGGGGGGGAGAGACAAGAGGTCAAGGAAGGGTCAAGGGTCATTACTCTGTTGACATAGCAAACCTCGATTAGGGATGGCAATTTTGACCTAACCCGATTTACCCGACCTGTTTGACCTGTTTTGGGGCGGGGCGGGGCGGGGCGGGCATGGGTACCTCTCATCGACCCGACCTGCCCTGACCCGCCCCATTCTCGACCCGTTCTTGCCTAAATTACATATTATATTAGTTAAATTACTTAAGATTTTCCTCTTATTACAGTATATTTAGCTATAATAAATTTGTAATAAGTGAAAACCTCAATTTCTTCAATAATTTAACTACATTTTATCATATTATGGTTTCTTTCTTGGTCTTTCAATGAAAAGAACGAATATTTCTAATATTTTTCACATAAATTACATACCCAATGGGTCGACCTGCCCCGACCTGCGCCCCGTGATAAATTACCCGACCTGGACCCGACCTGCCATGGGCCGGGTATGGGTATCGAGATACCCGCCCCGGACCTGCCCCATTGCCATTCCTAACCTCGATGATTTGGTAAATACTATTATTTGGTTTCTATATGTGTAATGCTTGATTTCCTCTATTTCGTTATTTGTTGATTAGAATGAATGCTTAGGTCGACCTTGTACTCCTTCGAGGTGCAGAGATCGAAATCCTAGTCGTTTAGGATGGATATAGAAATAGCATTCCTACTCAATCAAACGTCATATCGCCTAAACGAAGAAATTTAAAGGGATCTTGTCGCCTATTAGTTTGGGTAAATGATTAGACACAAGGTGAGATCTAATGAAATAAGAAATCGGCAGCTCTTACGTTTCGATCATCGAGGGTGCGTGGTTAGGAAACCTACAGGGATCGACACCTATGCAACACCTTCCTTCCTTGCTCTTTAATTTCTTCAGTAGCCTTAGATTTACTTTTTTGCACCTGCTTTATGTTTGAAAAGCCTAAGTTCTGCAAAACTTGAGAAACCTCAAACTCCTAAATTGACCTCTTCTTTAATAGAACCGCACCTCGCTTTCGAAGTAAGAGTTCTGCGAGAGGCCTGAGGGAATACGATCATGGCCTTAGGGTCAGGTAAATTTGGTCTACACTATACGACTAATCGTTCGTGAATTTCAGGGATGGTAGAGGATTGCTCAGAAATACACTCATGAGCTGGAATAATGGAAGAAAAGCTATGGTAGGAGACAGTTTTTGATGGGGATGGAGGAATATGGAGAGATGAGCTGAATATGGAAGAATGTGTCAAATCTTGTAAGATGCACATTGATGCTTTGATTTTATCAAGGCCAACTCAGAAAAGGTACAGTTTGGTGAGAAATGAATGCAAACCTTTCTTTGAGTGGTGAAAAGGCGGGCTCGTCGACGAAGTTTCAAAAAAAAAAAACTCAGGATCATTGCAGCGGTTTGCCGACAAAGGAGAGGACGAATGCCAACTATTTTATGATCTTTGATGAAGGGCGGAGAATCCTGCACCGGATGGCAAACAACCAAATCTGCATTTTTCAACTCATTGTGTGAGAATATCTAGAGAGATTACAATCATTAAGTTTCTCGACGAGTTTAGTGGTGTTTGGTTATTGATAAAGTAGAACAAAAAGCAGGAGAGAGTCTCGAAAGATAGTAGCAGTAAGAAAAAGAAGAGAGTAGGAAGAAGTAAGGAGAAGAGGAAGGGAAGAAGAAGATAAAGACATAATAAAGAAAAAAGAGAAGATAATAAAAGAGGGAGATACAAAGGAAGAGATTAGAATTCTATTATATTGCTCAGTATAGCAAAATCATATTTATCTCATTTAGCTATTACAAAATAATTCTTAAACTAAACCTTATCACAATTGGATCTTCAATCATTATAGATGTAGTCCCCCGTTGTCTATCTTTTTTTACTCTTGAAGAAAGGTTTATGTGCATAGAGGTACAGTGCCAAATCTTCTATATATCTTGTTGTTGTTCTGGAGTATGTCACTGCGATGTAATTTTCTCAGTATCAATTCTCTTGCTTTTCGTTGAATTTTGTCGTCTAGTTTCATCCTCTTCATCACGACGAGATTGAATTTGAATTATCCATAAAATTTCTATCCATTCCATCTCATCTGTCTATGCAATAATTACATTTTTGCAATGGAAAAATAAAGGTCTGATTGAATTGCAAATTTTAATATTTTCAACAGGTACTAGAACTGGCGGGGAATGCAGCCATATTGGACAAGGATGGTGGATGGTTTAGGTCTTTAGGTTGGGTTCAGTTTGTTTTTAATTAATTAATTTATGACATGAATGTTGATAGGGAAAATCAACAGAATTTTATATGGAGATGAAAGGTAGTGGCCTTTTTGTTATAAACTCTAATCTATGTTACCTTATCAAGGAGAAGTGATTTTGTCAAGGTAGTTTAGCGAGGGAAAAGTCAAATGTATGTGACCATAATTATTCAATTTTCCTTATTGGACATTAATCATTGTTTCATATATCTCGAGATATCTCATACTAGTATCCAAAGCCGTCCAAATCGGGATTTTACGTAAAATTGAATCGACCATTATGAGGTCAGTTGATGAAATGAATGAAATTGAAGTATAAACGTTGCCCCTTCTTTTTGTTTTGGTTGAAACGATCCCACATATGGCCAAGAACTTGTTGTGAAATTGAAGTGACTATCTGTAACCAAAAAATATACTCTCGTGCACAATCCAGGAGGTTTTGTCTCCTTTCTCAACTAAACCTCCTTAGTCCCTATATGATGTGTTCTTATCTTCTTGATAAGAAAAAGATGAGAGTATTTTGGTCTTGGTGTATTGGAGACCATAACCTTTGAAATTTTTTATATATTAGTTCACCAAAAGCTCCCATAAAATTTTAGGTGAATAAGTATTGGGTTTTCACCCATTTAGATCGATATCAATACAAGATATCTTTGAACTCGTTATTTGAATCACTAGCAATTAGCCTACTTAACCAAATAGCAAATATTAGGGTATATAAAATAGGGTTATAGGTATAATATGTCTCTCTACTATACAGTTATATCAAACATACTCCTCTATTATTTTTTACATCAAACACACCCTCGCACTTTGAAAAAATGATCAAACATGTCATTCTATAAAATTTACACAAAAACCATCAACCATGTTGATCATTGATTTGAGCTACACAAATGTCTAAAATATTCCTAATAATTTCACTTTAACATTTTTTTTCTTTTGTGTATTCCAATTTCTCTAATAATTTCACATAAATGAGACCTAGAGAAATAAATAGAAGGGTCAAATCTGAAAAATTCCCTCCTGTTTTGCCAAAATCGGGTCATTGAACCTCGATTTGCCCGTAGTTAGACAAATTTTGGATAAAATTTCTAACTGTTGATGTGACTTGAATCAGACTATCAGCCGTTACGACTGGTAATCGGGGGTCTCGCTGCCTGGTCAGCGAGTGGGGTCCAGGGGCAACGCCCCGGTGGGGGTGCGGGGGCAACGCCCCCGGCCCACGGTGTATGGGCTCAATGTTATTTGGGTTAGTGAACCTCGATAATCTGTTATTTGGGTTAGACCCACATGGAGAAGTACTATAAATACTTCTCATACTCCTCTGTAATCTGTAATCTCCTCGATATAGTGAAACTGACTCTCTCTCGCCCGTGGACGTAGCTAACACACATCGTGTTAGTGAACCACGTAAATCGTGTGTCGTGTTTTCGATTCTCAATTTCGTATTCTTGCTTTGTCGATTCCTGCGATTTTTCGATCCGTAGCAGCGCGTTTATAACACTAACAAAATGACATGTTTGCTGCAAAAAACTTGTATCGAGCTCCACCCAATCTTTTTTGTTAGGCCTGCTGCACCTGCCACTGCCGAAAGAAATATGGTTACGTAACGTACGTACGTATAAAGTAATCAAGTAGTCCAAAGTTCAAAGAGAAAGAGCTCCCAGCTAGCTAAACAGCTGACAGCCTCAGGCCTGCTCTTCGTCCGTTTACAAATGGGAATACATACGCCGATATGCGCTATACGAAAGCACCTGGAAATATCTGAACTAGGTAGGTGCAGAAGACTTGGTTCCTAGCTAGCCGATCGAGCTCCGTCCAACGTTTTGGCTAGGCCTGCTGCTGCCGCTGCCGAAAGAAATATGGTTACGTTATGTATATGTCTACAAACTAACTAATCAACTCCTTGAAGACTTCACCGGCTAGACCAGCTCTGGCCTTCTCTTCGTCCTTTATTCATTATTTACTTACTTGGCATTTTCAATTTGATTCAGGGGAAAACAAAAAGAACAAAACGGCATGCTATTATTATTAATGTCGCCAAGTTGAGTAGCTGCCTGCCAACTGTTGTATCTGGTCTCGATATTTTGGAGACAATTAAGCGGTATTATTAACCGTATTCATTCATTGACCAAGTACTAGTTTAGAGTTTTAGCTTTCATTAATTGTAATTAGCGCCTGCCTGCCTGCTCGCGTGATCACTTGAGTTGAGTTCACATCTGGTGCAAACCATTTTGCAGCTAGCTGCCGAACACCACACAAGTTGCAATATATATACCTTGCCCGATCTGCCGAAACCCCTTGTTATATAGGTTAATTAATTAGGTTTTCTTCAATTAACTTCGGAGATCTAAAGGACACATACAACTAGGCAGGTAGCTAGCTAGCTGGTAATCAGATTAACATAAATTAATTACCAAACATTAGTTTAATGCGTAACTAATTAGAGCCAGGCATATCGCATCAAAACGAGTTGCGATCCCCGTTGGTTGAGATAAGATGAGAGGGCATTTCTAGGTGCAGCGGCTTCAGTTTCATTCTTACCAAGAAAACATGTATAGGGAACCGGCCTTCTCTGACCTCTCTTGTTAAAACAACTAATGATGTATGTAGAGGTGACAATTTCAATCCAATCCACCAATCCAATCCATCAATTCATTAAAAATATCCACCTAATCCAATCCATTTAAATCCAATCCATTTTATCCAAATCCAATTGGATTGGTGGATTCATGGATTGGATCCATGGATCATTGGCAAATTACGGTTTAGTACCTATAATTTTTATATTTTACATTTTGGTACCTAAAATTTAATTTTTTATACGAAAAATATCATTGGAAAATTACGTTTTGATACCTAAAATTTTTCATTATGACATTTTAGTACCTAAACTTTTTACATTTTACATATTGGTCCTTGATTGAGGATGTCATTTGGGTTCATGGATAATCCACCAATCCATTAGATCCAATCTATTTGATCCATGGATCCACTAATCCAATCCACCAATCCAATCCATTTGCCACCTCTAGATGTATGTCAAGTACTAGTTCGTTCCAATAATTTGAATTGTGTCGAAAATAAAAAGAGACGAAATTCTGGATGGACTGGCGCATGTTTGAATAGCAAGGAAGTCTTACTCGATCATGTGAATGAATAGCCAATGGTACCGAACCCCCAAGCAACCAGTCGTTGATTTCGTGAATGATCAAGGTGAGTGGGACCTCCCTCGGCTCACTCAATTCCTACACCATGATATGGTTTTGCAGGTTCTTGATGTACAACTCCCGAGAGAGGGTTTAGCAGAAGATTGCTCCATCGGGGCCCGCAAAAGGGCAATCGATTCAGAATTCGATCGACTTATGAGTTGTCGACGAGCCACAGCGAGGTAGAGCCAACAAATCTTTGGCGTGATGTCTGGATCTGGAAAGGACCAACGAGCATCACTCATTTCCTTTGGTTGGTGACCTAGAGCAACTCTTAAGGAATGGAAAATGCCATAGACCACAACTCACCAAGAGGGCAACGTGCGTGATCTGCAACAACGAACAAATAAAAGTCTTGCATGTGTTGCGGGACTATCATTTTCCTCGGCTAACTTGGATGCAAATAATCTCATCTTCTGAACACAGACACGTTTTTAGAGCACCACTACAGTGTCGGCTACAATGGTACCTAAGATAGCAGTACACGACTTTAGAGTTTGGTGTTATCTATTGGTGTCTTTGAAAACCTAGGAAGGAAAGAGTATTTACAGGCAGAATCATCACAACATAATGCTTTTGGAAGTGAGTTCGGGCATGGTTAAATGTACTGTAGATGACCATAGACCAGGATAGGCTTTCTCATCATTCTAATCTTCCTGCGATAACAGAGGTGGTGATAACGTGGAAGTTGCCCCCCTTAGTCGGTACTCTCAACTTCGAAGGTTGTAGTCACACAACCTCAAGTCCTAAGCAACATATGGCTTGATTTGAGATCATGTAGGATGTTGTTTGGCACTGCTTGCTATGAAACAGAGTATATGTTCCATAGTTGAGAGTACCACTAAAAGGCCTTTAGTTATCATAGGATGTTGGGCGCGGGAGAGTTCAAGTGAAACTTGACTCCTAGTGCGTAGCCCAGCTGCTTCAGAGCAAGGACAATAGCGTCTACCAACATGTTACTAGCTATTATAAAGTGATTTTAGGGGCTATTAGATAAAGAAGGAAGTTAAGATTTTCCACACTTATGAAGAGTGTAATAAGTGTGTAGATTATTTGAATAGCCAAGGACATCTGCTACCATTTCATTTTGTTTCGTTAGTTGATCCTATACCGTGTCATTTGACCTTGTTTGTTTCTTAGGGGATCTTGGAACTTTGGTTAGTTATGAATGAAAGATAGGGTGCTCTTTGCATCCATTTATAATAGGGGGAAAAGAACAGAATATGACTAAATTGAAATTTTCTCAGTAAATATGTTTTATAAGGTAATCATTCAAAGGATTAGGTAGTGTATATTCAATAAGATTAGGTACTTGTATCTAATTTAGTTTTTATCCGTTAAAGTCATAAGTCATAACAGACTTTCCGCTTTCTTCCTTAGTTCCTTTGTATAAAAGCTGATTAACTACAAATTAATTAACCGCTTTTGCAACTTATCAATGCGAACTCAATGAATCATAATTCAATTTCTAGTTTGATGTTAGAGCTACAATGAACTCAAATATTCCTCTCTTTAGTTTTTTTGTTTTTATTTTCCCTTATGCTAAACCTATAATTTTCCTCCTATGGCGGCTTTAGTAGATACTTTCACTTATGGAAATGATGACATCCCTCCAATGATAATCACTCATATTGAAGGATCCACTATCAACGCAACACCGATTTGAAACAATGGCATACTAATCACTGATCCTTTGAGCCCATTTTCATCCATCTAAGTAAAAATTGGGGGTAGTGTTTGGTTTCTTAGCCGCTCACTAAATTGAATTCTGCCATCAGAGATTGATGATCCTCTTACTTGATGTCAAGAAAAAATTCAACTTCTTAAATGTAAAGATCTCTACTCTTCCAGTTTCTTCTTACTACGAATCATGAAGTCGCAACAACAAACTAGTATCTATTTCAATCGAGTAATATACCCAATAACTCAATCGAGTAATTGGGACCAACCGATTCCATACATACAAACTAGTATCTATTTCAACAAGAGAGAGGCCAGAGGGGGGTTACAACTAGCTCGTGACCAATATTAGTTAGAGAACCAATAAATGAAGCAGATCAATGAGATGAAAACGCTTGTCATCATTATGATTAGCTAGCATATAAAAAGACAAGCATCCGTACTAGCAAACAGAGACAAGGTTGGATTGCACGCAAGCCGGACAAAATTGAAAACTGAGAGAGAGGCAATTTTTAGAAGAAAAGGCTTCGAGATAGCAGGACATGGAAGGGGACGTGATTATTGGGAACTATGATCACTCTGATATGATCTCCCACCCATCAATTCCAGAGCTATGCAGCTAGCTGTCTGCCCTCTTGCTCTATATATGCCTTAGTTTCTTCCCATTGTCTCCCTCACCTCGATCCTCTTAACATTCTATTATACTAATTACCACCTCCATCCAACTTGCTCTATCTACTTTGACCCCCTCAAACCCTCTTAATTCCCTTCAGTCTCCATTGTTCTGCTCCGTCTCCTTCTTTGGCCTGTATTCATTCCGATTTTGCGATTCATTCAAAGATGGGGGAAGCGTGTTCGCCGTTGTGGACGCCCAAGATGAACAAACTGTTCGAGGTGGCGCTGGCAATGTACGACGAGGATACGCCGGACCGATGGGAGGTCATTGCCGACGTTGTCGGGGAAGGCACTACCCCCGACGAAGTGCAGAGCAGGTACCAATGCCTAGTCGATGACGTGGAGCGGATCGAGACCGACGATGTCCCCCTCCCCTTTTATGATGATGACGACGATGAAGATGAAGACTGCTCCGCCGACTACGATTACGACGACGACTTCTCCGACGAGGAACAGAGGTAGGTCGTTGATCAAAACTTAATGCTCTGTTTCCCCTGTTTCTATACGCCCACATTCTCCTAGACATTTACAGTGTTAAATGAATCTGCTTTAACTCCGTGATTTTGGTCGGGCGCAGGTTGAAGGAACTGGAGCTCGATTGATAGCTCATCAGCTGCTCAAGCTGCAAATTTTTGGACTGCATCTGATAAATTTCTATCACGGGTTTCTTTTTTTTTTTTTTTTTTGTTATGGTTGCCCCCCAAATTTTGCTTTGATATGGTCAGTGGGGGGAGCTAAGTACAAAGGGATTCTCCTTGGAATCGACCGAGAAAGACTCTCCTTGACTTTGGAACTTATTTTTCTTCTTTTTGTCTGCAACGGCGGCAAGAGAGATGTTTGGCTGTGTGCGTCTTAATATCCATCGATTCAGACAATAATAAATTATCATCATTCATTTTATTTTATTGTTCTCCCTCTCCAATTGTTTCATTTTTCTCCGGCTTTGCGAATGCATATGGAATGATCGTAATATGGTAGAATATATAATATTATATATATATGGACAAAACTGAGAACCGGCCCATTGCAAAAATATCTCAGTAACATCGTCCATTAAGCTTCCTTTTTTAGCACAAAATAAAATATTTGTGGAGCGCATCAACAAGAAGAATTACAAATCGACACAAAGTCTTGATGAAGCCACAAAGAGAATGGAGTGATCTCTGTTTCCATTCAACCAACGGTGCCACTAAAAAAAAGAGAGTCCTAATAAACACTTGCTCACAAGTCACAACGAAAAAGACGATCCATAATTAACAACTGCCATCTAGGATGGCAAAAATATCCGTAACCGTAGATATCCACCCGAATCCGACCTAATTGGGTAGGGTAAAATTCGAACACGAAACATTTTTGTGGGTACGGGTAAAACTCGAACCCGAATATTGTGGGTAATAGGTGGGCATGGTTATCTCACTATCCAACCCGAACTCGCCCGATTATACACATGCATATGTATTTTGTCTAGAAATAATCATTGTTTTTCCCTAGAATATTTTATATTTAGCATATAAATATAATATTTTCATGAAATTATGTTGTTTTAATTAATTTTCGTCATTCTAGTGAATTATTGTCGTACTTTTCCTCTTACGTAATGTGAATATACGTGTGAATGTTAACATATTGGTTGGAATTATAAGGAGAAATTATATCCATGGATACCCGTGGATACCCGAAACCCGAACGGGTATGGGCATGGTTTTGATTTTCTACCCGTTTCTCGTGTGGGTACGGGTATGGGTAAAACCCGAACTACATTGGGTAGGGTAACGGATATGCACTATCCGTCCCCGACCCAACCCATTGCCATCCCTATTGCCATCTAATCGGAGGAGGTGCTAAGATCAGATGATTAGTGGGTCGCTTAGTCACTTGACTAAGTCAATCTCAGCCCTTCAATTTTATTAAAATCTAATGGTTTTAATTAATCTCATTTAGTGAAGGACAATATAATAATTGCAAGACATTTTTATTTTTTTTAATTATTAAATAAATGAACAAATACCTGTACTTCTCATCCCGCCTCCGCTGATCAGGTCCGGCATCCCTCTGCAACTCCTCCGGCGACTTTACCTTCTAGGGACCAGGCGGCGATCCTTTCTTCTGTGCCTTCCACTTTTTTGTTTTTGTGGGAATATTTTTCCCTCCAACCTCCTATACGAGAGAGAGAGTTTCGATTGCTTTTCTGACGACGGCGAAGGAGTCTGACAACCAGAGACGGCAAAGATTGATTTCCGAGGACGGTGCTGGATTCGTGATGTTTGTTGACCTATTTTGTAATGTTTATAAGTCCAATTTGTGATGTTTATATCAATTTGGTTTGTATCCTTTATCTATCTAGTTTGTTATTTTTATCTATTATGTTTGTAATGTTTATATGACTATTTTGTATATATTGTAATTTGTAATGTTTGTTTGTTGATTTTGTATATTTTTATGCTATGATTTATATACTTTATATTAATTGGTTTGTAATGAAAGTTTACTAATTTGTATTGTAAGTAGTGTATTATGTACGGTTAGTATGCTTTGTACTGTTTGTTGGTTTTTTTTTTTTTTGTGTAATGTTTGTAAGCTTTGTTATTTTTGTGGGTTAATACCCTAGTTTGGCCCGAAGTTTAGCGTAAGTGACAGTTTTAGCCCCAATTTCTAAATAAGACATTTATGGTAGTGATGGCAATTTCAACCCGCCCCGCGGGTATTACCCGACCTGACCCGCGATGGGGCGGGTATTACCCGACCCGCAGTAGCGTGGGGCGGGGCATAGGTATCTACTTCCGACCCGCCCCGTTCTAGACTCATTTTATCTCAATTTCTTACAATTTCTATACATATTTCTCATATTTTGACTTTTCTTCAACTAGTTAGAGTCGCTCTTTCAACTTGTTAGACTCAATTATCCATTCTATTATCATTATTTTTCATTCTTAAAGTGTTTTCCCCTTCGTTTTATCGTAAAAAGTAAAATTTACTTGTATTTTTTCGAATAACATGTAAGAGTGGGTCGACCCGCCCCGCCCCGTACCCGCGCGGGTTGTACCCGCGCGGGTTTTACCCGCCCCGTAGTAGCGTGGGGCAGGGCATGGGAATTGAGGTACCCGCCTCACCCCGCCCCATTGCCATCACTAATTTATGGCCTACTTTTGAAATTATTGGACAAATTTGGCCCGAAACTTATGTTGACCGTCAAAATTAACAGTCAACTATTATCTCCGTCTGTGACTCAGCATACTGTGCTGACTAGACCAGTACAGACCATCTCCATCCCTGCAATAGGTTAGCCATTTCATAAATGGACCCCACATCCACATCACCAACTTTAGCAACTATTCAATTCAACCATTTCAAGCCACCTACATCCCTGCAATAGGTTAGCAATTGCAATTGATGGGACCTACTACATATTCTTTTCCTTAACAATACATTTGCATAATAGATAATAGACTTTTGAAAATTCAATAAACACAAAATACATAGCATATACCAAATAGAAATAAAGAAAAATTACATAATCAAATACAAAAAATGCAAAACAAAATACAAAAATTCAAAATGAAAGTAAAAAAATATTAGACTACTTGTCATCTTCCTCTCCTCCAAATCGATTCCAAATCTCTTCAACTATACATCTTTGTATGAAGTTTTCATGTTCAATATAATTAACATATAATTTATGATTTTAATTTATTAACAACTTATAAGTACAAGAATTGTTAAGTTTTAACATTTTATGTGTACAAAGTGGATAGAAAAGAAAGAAAGAAAAAAGAAAGAATTTGAGTGTATGAATGTGTGGGTCCCAATTGCTTATGTGGCATTGCAAAGGGGATTGCTTATTTAGCAATCTTGCTAAATAAGAAAGAAGTGCTACATCCTTGCAATTGCTTAAAGCTATTGCCACATAGGATTCCACCCAATAAGCAATAACAATAAGTAATTTGATGGAGATGCTCTTATTATTATTTTTACCAAAACACCTCATTATTATTTAAAATAAATAAAAAACTGAAAACAAAGGTAGTTAATTGATCAGAACTTACTTGACTCTGTTTCCCCTGTTTCTATACGCCCACATTCACTAGCTATTTACAGTGTTAAACGGATCTGCTTATTAGAGCTATCTCCGTGATTTTGGTTGAGTGCAGGTTGAAGGTAGTCAATTTGGTTTGTATCGTTTATCATTCTAGTTTGTTATTTTTATCTATCATGTTTGTAATATTTATATGACTATTTTGTACATATTGTAATTTGTAATGTTTGTTTGTTAATTTTGTATACTTTTATGCTATGATTTATATACTTTATATTAATTGGTTTGCAATGAAAGTTTACCAATTTGTATTGTAAGTAGTGTATTCTGTACGGTTAGTATGTTTTGTACTGTTTGTCGGTGTCTATTGTAATGTTTGTAAGTATTGTTATTTTTGTCAATCATGTTTGTAATGTTTTTTTATGTCTAAAAACAACTTGTTTGACTTTTGGATGAAACTCATCTATATAGAAATGGAGCCTCCAAAGTCAACCCAGGTGTTTTCCATTTTGTATGGTTTGTCAGTCTAATTTGTCATTTTTGTCCACCATGCTTGTAATGTTTGTATGTCTAAAAAACAACCGGGTTGACTTTGGGACGGAGCCCCTCTATATAGGGATGAAGCCTCCAAAGTCAACCCGGTTGTTTTTTCATTGTGTATGGTTTGTATTGTTTCTCGTTCTAGTTTGTATTGTTTGTACCGTTCATATGTTTGCATTGTTTGTAAATCTATTTGTATGTTTTGTCGTTATCTTTTGTAATGTTTGTATGCTTGTATTGTTTGTACTGTTTGTCGGTCCGCTTTGTATACTTCGTAATTTTTCATAATACCCAAAATACCCTATCACTAATTTAAAATCACTTCCCACTTTTTAATCGTTAGATTGGTCTGTCCAGATATAAGGGCTAGGAGGGGCTTAGTCAAGTGACTAAGGACCCCCCTCCCCTTTAGTCATGGGATCCTCCCTCTCGGAGAAGTCTCTCTTCTTCTAGTTCGCAACAGTAGAAAGCCCAGCTGGAACCTAATAAGACCATTTTATTCTATTGTTTGTAACCGTCAAAAAGCGTTGCCTGAGCTAAGCTCCGTCGCCCACAAGCACCACCATGATGGTGGTTTCCGGAGATAGTGACAACCAACGAATGAAAGCTAGGATTCTTATAAGCGATCGTCTCGACACTCGATGTCGGTTAAGGTAGTCGCAAAAGACGGACCACCCAAGAGTTCCAAATAATTAGAGATTAGCCGGCGACATCGCCGTATTTGCCTTTCCCATAAACAGACGGACAATCGCAGATGGAAAAGACGACGAGAACAGAATTTACTAATACTACAACATTTTATCAACAATCATGTTCATCAGGCCAGAGGAGAAGGGAGTTCGACCAACTGCTTCTTGATATTGTACACAAAGGACGCCTGGCACGACTGACAGTCGCAGCACAACTCTTTCTGCTTGTCGCTCCACCCATTATGGTATGGATCTCCACCTGAGACGATCCCTTCCGCTGATTATAAACCTAATCTAATCCTAACGGAAACCCTAAACTAATTAGCCGCAACGACCATCCAAGCCTGCTTTGTTCCAGGCTCATCCCATCATCGGAAGCAGCGGCGCGAGTCACAGACAGAAGTAGAGGCAGCATCCTAGCCTCAAATCGAATGAACACATCGTGACAAATCCCAAAACCCTCATTTCTCTTTCATCACAACATCATCATCTTCTTCATCACCGTGGCAAAGAGAAGACATACGTTGCACAACCAGAGAGAGGGAGATCGTGAAGGGAACCTGTCGCGGGTGCGGATATGACGAGCCGATGAACCATGCGAATGGGAATCGCAGCCGCTCAGCATCAACGAATGGAAACCTTTTGAAGAACTAGGTAAGTACCTTCGAATTTTCAACTTCAGAAAGCTTTATTGTAGTGGGTTAATTATTACCAAAGGCTTATTTAACACATTTGTTTGATTAACACATAAGAAACTACTGCCACTTCCACATTCATAAGTTATACATAGTGTATTTTAATAACTATTATAGAATGATATTATGTAATTTTACGTAACGTGTGGGCTAACAATAAAAACAAGTTACAAATCTCGCATTTTATTAAACTGTTATGTAATGTTAACTTTTCTTACGGAATCTTTAATTGGCATAATGAAAATTGATGAGATGTTGAATATAGTGGGTAATAATACTTCTAGTTAATAATAAGTGAATGAATTAAGTTACAAAAAATAATATACATATTTGACCAAATTGTTATGTAAAAAATAAATGACCTTACAAGATACATACTAACAAGAGATATGACATTCCATTTCATATAGTGACGAAGAGAGGAGGGTGACATTCAGTCGAGTTTGCTGACAAATTCGGAAGTAGAGGAACGAAGAATGTACGGACGGAATACAATTCTGTGAAGGCATGTTGTTCTGTAGAATTTTGAAGCTTGGTTCTGCATTTTTCAACAGGCTCAACAAAATGTGAACAAATATTTCAAACCTTCTGAGAGACAAAGAACAGAGATGGAACTAGCATGGAATCCCCCTCCTGAGATATGGGTATAGATTTAATCTGATAGATCTATCCTCTCGACCTCATGAGGAGCTGTTGTAGGAGGCATGATCAGAGACAGACTAGGGTGGGGTATTGTAGAATTCGTCTTTAATCTTTGGGACTGTTTGCTTACCACAGCTAAATTGAAAGGGGTGATTAAAGGGTTGAATCTAGCTTGGGAAAGGGGTTATAGAAACGTCCAGCTCAAGATTGACTCAACCAAAGTTGTCGTCATCATGAAAAATTGTAGGGATGGCAGGCATAGACATGACCTACTGGCACAACAAGTTAGACACATTTTGGAAAGAAATTGGAGAGTGCAGATTTCTCATGTGCAGAGAGAGTGTAATTTTGTGGTTGATTACCTAGCTAGTAGGGGTTTTTTTTTTGACAAGAAGCTGCATATATTGCACTTCAGAAGTGAATACAAAGTTTAGGGTAAAACCCATGGAAAGATACAGTAGAAGTCAAAAGGAAAAAAGCCCACTCACAAAGCCCCAACAATGTTTCAAAAAGAAACCAAAATGAAGCCCAAAACCCAGAGTCTGCAAAGTGAGCCCAAACCCAACAAACAACAACCAACACCAACCCTAGCTATCCTCTCTTCTCCAACCTGCCGCCGCCACCCAAAAGAACAGAGCCGCCGAAAAAACAATCGTCGACCACCAGCTCACCTTGCAGCGACCAGACCAATGCCACAACGGGAGAGCAGCAGTCCGCGAGGAGCCCGGAGACCACGAAAACGGCAGCGAACAGGCTTGGAGAAAAGAGACGAGCTTCAGACTGATGCATCCCTGCCTTCAACATCTTAGAACCGCATCCAGACCGCTGCATATGAGAAGGCCTTTGCATCTCCGAAACACCGACGCAATGGGTGAAGCAAGGAGGTAGATGAAAGGTAAGAAGATGAGAAGACAAGCTACCGATCAGAAATCAATAGCCCCCTTTGACCACCGAGCGAAAGAACCAAGCACATCTAGATCTGAGGATCAGAAGTAGAGGTTGGAACAGGAAACATCCATCTCACAAGGAGTGGCAGAAAGAAAACCCCAAAGATGGGCAAGAAGGCTAAAAAGCTGGAAAAAGAAAAAACGAACATGCACTGAAACAGAAACTGGAACCAAGCATAAAAAACAAGCAGGAAAGAAAAGGAAATTTGGAGCGCCACCGTCGGTCCCAAGGGGAAGCCGGCGGCAGCCCCATGGAGGCTTGAAACTGAAACCCAAACTAAGAGAGAAGGCAGAGAAAATGAAAGTTAGAGAGAGAGGGTTTTTTATACTGTGAATTTTGTCACACATCTCTTCGATGTGACATATTCGGATCTTACAAGATGGATTCTTTGATGTAATGGACAATAGCCCAAACGCAATTGTTCAGTAATGAAACTCAAGACGTGGTAGTGTGTCAACTTTTTTAGCTGACCAAGCTGTAAAATAAAATAAAATGCAAAGTAAATAATCGAGTCGACGGAGGCTCAAATCCCAGCTCAGTGGTCTGAATCCACTTCCCGTTTTTATTGTTTTAGGTTTTTGTGCCTTCAGACTCGGTCCCTCTTCTCTATTAGCCGCCGCCAACTCCTCCATTTCTTCCACTCTGCCACTCACCGGACGAAGGTTGGATTCGGATTTCTGACTTATCAATTGTGAATGCAACCGTTCGCTAATTTTTATTCTTGATACAGAAAGATAAGACAGAAGATCACCCGCCCAACTTCCTTTCGCGGAGAACAAGCTTCTCATCTGCCGGAAAACCTAAAAGTAAAATCTTACCGCTACTTGAGTGAGAAGTTGCCATTGTTGCCCGGGAGCTTGGTTTCCCTCCGGTGAACTGCTACTTCCTTTTCTCTCTTCAGGTATTATCTCTATCTCAGTACGAAATTTGCTACCCTTGTGATATTGTCAGCTGTTTTCTATCGGCCGATTGAGGGAGAAAAAAACATTCTACTATAGTATTAATCAATCATTTGACCTCTTCTTTTCGCTACCTGATCGAACTCGCTCATTCAGCTTAATCATTCGATCCTTGAGGCGTTTGTAGCAGATGATGCATAGTTGGTGTTGCGCACACCATCTGTTCGATGAATTGTTCTGTTTCTTCTGTTTGTTTTTCTTTCTTTTTACCTGATTATGCTGGTCGCTTTGATTCTGGTGACAGCAATGGAGGCCAAATTCTTTCGCTTTCTGAAGATTGTCGGCGTGGGTTACAAAGCAAGAGCTGAATCGGAAGGGCGGCTGTTGTTTCTCAAGTTGGGTTACAGCCATGAAGTGGAGCTCACTGTGCCCCCGGCTGTTCGTGTTTTCTGCTTCAAGAACAATGTGGTCTGCTGCACTGGGATCGACAAGCAGAGGGTGCACCAATTTGCTGCAGCGGTGCGTAGTTGCAAACCTCCAGAAGTTTACAAAGGGAAAGGCATCATGTACACTGATGAAGTGGTCAAGAAGAAGCAGGGCAAGAAATCCAAATAAATGAGGGCAGAGATGCAGTAGAGGAGATTCGCGGCACTAGTAAGTGTTGGTCATTCACTTAACTTTTCTTCAGCAGCAGCTCAACTCTCAATTGAGTTTGGTTTGATTTCTTTGTTGAAAATTTCAACTGTCGAAGGGGCATTTTGAACTAGCTTTTAAGGGAACGGAATAGCTGAATCAACTTTTCTGCACATGTTTGCTTGGTCTATTTTGCTGCTTATGAAGTCAATAATCTCATTAGATGGCTCAAAACAACAAAATATTACAGCATGAAACGTTGCTATAGACTCATTTGTTTAAAGATTCACCCCACCCTCACAAATATATATTTTGGGAAGCCGAGAAAGGGCCTGTGGTATGAGTTCATCCAGAGCGTATGTTCTTGAGGCTATATATCTGCACTGGCGAGGCTAGTCTCTAGATCACCTGTACATGTGCTGCAGCCAACGATCATCCTACGCCTGGTTCCTCAATGTTCGGTAGTACCTGCAGAAATATGATACAGAACCGTGTGATGAGATTAGAATAATGTAAATGCAACGGTGTAGATTCAGGAAGGCGAAGCAAGTAAATCCCAGTAAAGGAACAGACAGAACTAAACACAACGAATCAGTCCCCTACTCATGTTCAAGTAATGCTAAGAATACCATGATTTTGCACAACTCCCTCGGTGAAAATTAGGCACCATAAGTCCATACTGGTTGGCCGTCGGGTCCATCATCCACCTCACTAAGAAGCCGACTATACCGGTATATCGACTGGAGCTACTGTGAAACCTTGAAGTGGCACACTATGAGCAGCACTATCATCCGTGCAAATGAAGTGAGAGTATGGTGGTGCGCAGAGAGTAGCAAATGGCCGAGTCCCAGCAAGATTGTGTGGCATGAACACGAGTAGTACAAATGCCTGGCATGGAGCGCCCAATGCAAATGCCAAAACACAGTACCATGGCAGTGGGATCAGTACTGACGATGACGAATCATGAAGTTCCTCCAATCGATGTTCAAGGAGTGCCACCAACATCAATATGAAAGGTGAGGAACAAGAAAGGCCCCGGAGAATGCAGGTCAAGTTTCACAAAATTACAGTTTCATTAACCAGAGATAATGAACTGGGATTTCAACGATTATATCGTCGTGATTGATCGGAATGAACAATAACTTCACCTGAAGAATGACTGTTAGTATAGAACAGTAAATGATCAATAATCAAACTCAAGTCATCGATTCAACAGGATCTAAGCTGATCATCCATCCATTTGGCTGATTGCAATGCAATTGCAAGTTCAAGCTGAAAACTAGGTTTACCCAGTTCGATTTGATTAATCAAAATAAAAAGGAATTACTTCTGTTTACCGCTTTCACTTCAAGAACTCAATACATATACATCCGTTGATGATGTTTAAGCTACAATTAGAAAATTGGAGGGAGAAAAGAGTTTCAAAATACAGTTTATCTCTACATTTGGTGGAAGATCTTGTTACACTATCACTACCGGACAAAAAATGCCTCCCGCTTAAGTTTTGCTTTGATAGTGAATTCGGCACAACAGAAGCCAGAGATGTTTTGCAATTTTCACGATTCAACTCATCACATCAAGTGAGCTTTGGAACTTTGACAAGGTGTACGCTTTTCACAAACCCTTTCCCGGCTTCACCAACTCCCTTCAATATACTAACAGGATCTTTTTCTTCATCCTCTTGTTCATCGCGCTGCCGCTTCTGGTACAGCCAACAACAAAAACAAATTCACAACTTTGAACGGCCAAAAGACAGAAACGACTAGCTTATTGCTAAATATGAACAGCTTAACCTTGGAACCAGATCTGTCCCATGTCAGTCCAATCGCATCGCCCCCTAGAGCATCATACCACAGCTTCACTGTGCTGAACTCCCTCTGAAGGTGTCGGAAGAAAGAGAAAACAGTAAGCACACAAGAGCACGGTGGAAGGTTAAAGCTTAACTTGTGATTAGATGGATCACAAGAGATACTCGCCTTTAAATCAGTAACATAGAGTCTTAGTGGATCAAAGTCGACCATTAGCTTGTCTTTCAACTTTTGCAAGTTCCTCCCCCTCAAATCTTCAGATGAAAAGAATGGGCTAAACGATTTACTAGCATTCCCACGAGCAACAACCCTCCCTGTCCCAGACATTTGTTGGCTTCAGAACACTAAAGAGTCGAATATTTTGTTGTTCAAGTAAATATCAGGCTGTACACTATAATACCTTGGTTCACTAGTGATGGGAAGAGAAGGTGACGAGGGAAAGGCAACTTATCACCGTGGAGGAGGACTACTGCATCATAGTTGTTGAACGGGGTTCGAAGAAGGCACTGCAGAGAGAAAAATTCGCTCCGATTACTTGACAGAAATCAAGGTACAAACACAGGCAATTCAAACGTTCTAAAAAAGATTGGTTATAAACCAAGATACGCTTACCTCCCATCTAAGGGAATCAGATTCATCTTGGCATATGAGTTTAGTCAGCAGGTTCGCACTGCTACGAGCATAAGCTATCAGTCTCTTGAGCTCCTTTTAAGAAAAAAAGAAAGAATCTGAGTGCACCACGGTGAAGAATTTGAGCGTCAACTATCAAATTTGATGAAATAAACTAACCATTGAATTTGGAGAGGAAGAAGTCCAAGCTTCAGATGCTTTATCATATGACGTCGCCAAGAACATTGCTGGGCTTATATTTTGCATGTTTCCTGCATAGCCTTTTCTACTCAACCTAAAGTTGTCCTGAACAAATAGAGCATGCCTCTGATTTAGAAAAACGATAACAAGCCATAGACACAAACCAAGAGAACTACCAGCCGTAACTCAAATCAACAGCTTACTTCAATCTCTTTCTTATCACTCGGGCTCAAGTCATCTTTCATATCAATAACCATTGGAGAGAAGGTCCAGTCATAGTCTGCTAGTAATCGCAAGAACCTGTTGAAGAATGATTGCCAGACATCATTTGCATTCAACAATTGTACATACAAAGGAAGCCATGACAGAGCTCATGCAACTTAACATAGCTACTAACTCGGAGTATAATCATGAGAGCGTAAGGACTCAAGAATCAGAAATGCAATTGACATTCAGAGGTATTCTCGTCACAATTAGCCAACTGATGAAAAATAGTAATAACAGTGCTGGGTCTAAGATACAAGCTCTTTCTGTTGAATAATGGTTTTACTTACAGATCAAACTGGAAAGAGAGATTTTACCTTAAGAACCCAGTAATACGGGAACAAGGTGTTTTAAAGGGTAAAGACTTCACAAAGAGATATGCCACCAACAATTCAACTGTCTCGTCTGCCAAGCTAGCTGAAAATAGATGCGAAGCAACCCACCTTTTCGCAAGCCTTCAAGGATCAAGCGGGAAAAGTAACATATCACCATAATTTGTAGAAGTATTTTGATAAAGGATCAACCTGATACTGACTGGGGACTGAGGTTACCTAACAACTGGCCCATAAGCTGGATAAGGCTTCAATAGGCCCTTAATCATACTAGCATGCTGACTTTCGAAAAAAAGGCTCTTGTCAGCACCAAATACCCGCTTCGCTCGTTGAGTTGCAACTACACAACACAATTAATGTTCAGAGGCAAGAACCGGAAGAATCTACGCAACAAATACCGGAAGAAGGTCATACTTCCACTGTTAACCAATGCAAGGGCTCTCTCGTGTAAGATTTTCAGGCGAAATGCATATCCTGAAAGAAGAACAACCACCTCATCTTCGGTAGCATCACATCTCATCCCCCAGTTACTTTGCAAACTGCCATCATAGACGGCAATGGGGTTATCTTATCACATCTCATCCCCCAATATCACAATAATGCGCATAAACCTAGAAAGCTCACCTCTCCCCAATTTTAAGAAGGAAGGCAGATTTGGTTTTTTGAATTGTCACATCATCCTTTGGCCAATTTCCAGAACCTTCCAACTGAAAGAGATAAACTAAGGACTTAGGGGTTGCTTGGTTGAGCGATATTATTTGCAATAGCATGCAATTAAACGACATTGCAGTTCTTGGTGGCACCTTTTATGGTGAATGTAAACTGACCAAAATGATGCGATCTCAATTACAAGGGGCATAAAGTATTTGAGAAAGTGCACTGTAGGTACCACAAGTGTTTTTTTATACTATTTAAGGACAACCTTGTTACAAATACAAATAAACATACTAAATAGATTGCATGCTTGTTTAAAACAAGAAACAAATTACCTGAATCATAACTTCTAGTGGCTGAATGCACGATGAAGTAAGCTTACTTAATTTTCCACCGCTGCCTTTTTCATTAGCCAATGGATGTGGCTCGGGAGGAAAGACAGAAGTTGATCTCAAAGCTGTAAAATTGCACACGGTAATTTGTTAGCTGCAGCAAGAGGACCAAAGAGGGTAGTCGAGTGAAAGAAACACAGAAATCTACAAAAAGCAACCAATGAAATTCAGTCACATTTCACAGAAGTTGCAACCTGATTTGCAACTGTGCCCAGGGCATACCAAGAAAGGGGGAATAAGACCAAGAAATCAATTAGCATCCGATAGGAGTACTAATCTCATCTAACCACCTGACAATTCAGACAGTACCTGGGTCTAAAGGTTGTACGTGAGATATCTTCAACGGAACATCTTCAATAGAGCGCAGGCGCCTTTCTAGAATCTCAAATGTCCCAAGCAAATTTGGAAAGAATGATACTGGATCTGAGATGACTCGAAATTCGTAAGAGACAGAAAAATGGAAATTGACATGGAAAGTAGTTGATACTAGTTATAATACCTGTGCCACCATGAAGCAAAGAGAAATCAAGCTGATCCACAATTTGAGTAATATTTGTTTCTGATAGAGAAAGATGTCTAACTAGCACATGTTCAACTATTCTTTTCAGAATGAGATGCTTAGTCCAATCCTTTGTTTCCCAGACTGTATAGACGACAAAAGTTATTCACTAAGTTAACTGCAATATGCATCTCATGGCACCTCAAGTCCTCAACAAATCAGACCCTCACCTGTACTTTCAGCAATTCGGCCATCTTGGAACCTCCGAAGCTCTGCCTTTTCACCCCAAAACTTACGGAATTTAAGAACCTAGTCAAGAGGAACAGACAGAAGCAATTAGCGTGAATTTGGGGGCAATAACATTGAGACTGACAAACACATAAATTCAATACCGCATCTCTGTCTTCAGCGTCGGGGCCAATATCAACTACTCTGAAAGCTTTCTCCGGAGTGCTCATAGATATTCCTACAATCAATGGTTCTCTATCGAGAGTGGAAAAACCCTGCAATAAGATAATATTAGAACCAGCTCTGGTCGAAGTTATACGCATCGAGTTAGAAGTTACCTTTTCCAAACTGCACCCTGAAGAACTGTTTCTCCAAATTACACGAACAGACTTTGTCCTATCTCCCAAACCTTGACTCAGAAGATCATGCACCTGTTTCTCGTACAATCTCCAACATTCATCATCCAAACAAAATCCAGAAGAATAGACCTCCTTGCTTCCCTTTAAGTTCAACCTGAAACAAGACAGGAGTCAAGTATGCACAATAATGGTACCAAAGCAGTCGATGAGTTAATAAGAAGATCATTGAAAGAACAAAACCTATGTTTAGCTTTGAAAACATTGTTATGCTGAATTTATGCATTTCATCCACCTTCCAGTGTACATAATCCATTTACATAACTAGGGACACGGTATTTGATTGAGAGCTACAATAATTTCTTTTTTTATAATTAAGCTATATATTCAATCATACCTTATGTAATGATCATATTTAGAAGAAAAGTCAACATTCGTTGTAAAGATATCCTCAAATGCCCCATCTCCAAATTTCCCCAAACATTGAAGAGTAATGACAGCTTCCTCTTGGAGCTGAATATTGCAGAAAAGGATAAAGCAACATAGTATAAGTAACGAAGGAACTACACCAAGTTATTTGGCACAAAACTCTGCTAAATATAAATACACTACCATATAATACCTCAGAGAAAGCACTTTTGCTTATCCGGTAAGTCAAATTGGTAGAACTGTGTGCATCACATAAGAAAACTGGGAATGATTCTATATTTTTCATCCTGTCCTGCAAATAGAAAGTTATGCTATAATGATTGACTCTCAAAGATGGAGCAGATCTAGTAGTATACAAGGACCAAAAAAATGAAATTACATAACAGCTAGATAAACTCTAGTTCTCACAAAGTAAATGAAATTATATAACTTCGATAAGTGCTCCCTCTATAAAGTGCACTCATTGTAATGTGAGTCATGACAGGATAAATAAGACCATTAATCTATTAAATAGCTGCACTACTTTGCTTTTGCTGCAACCCCTATGTCAGTATCGTGTGATCAATTAATAGAATGTTTTCCTCAATTCTAATGATCCGCATTGAAATATACACTGGGAAAGAAAGGACTAAAGTTAAGGATCATACCTCCTTTGTGATCGTAACATTCTTGTGAAAATAGAGCCCGCGGGCCCACAATTTTGAATTGCCTGCGAAAATTGGAATCAGTTATGCATTGCTGAAATTTCTAACTGCAGCTTATCAACATAGACAATATCCCAACATGGTCATGTTTTGCTTGAACAAGAGCCCGGATGGAGTACAAACATACCTATGAAATCCAATGTAACACGAAACATTTGCAATGGCCTCATAGTCTTGTTAATCTTCTCGTGGGTTGCAAGGTACGACAATATAATAGCTAACAGGAACCCATTTAAGCAGTCATGAACGTACACAGAACTTCTCTGTCGAGCCCAGACCTGCACCACCAGATCAATTTTTACCATCTTACATTCCAACTTATTGATCATACACTTTTCAGGTTACAATTCCATGCTTCCATACCTTCAGCAAAATCAGAGCCTCTCCCAGTTCCTTCCACCCAGCAAAAGTTTTCCGGAGAAATTCATTGTTCTCTTCTAAACTCATGTCCTCCAAGATGCTGGTATTATACCTTGGAGAAGGTAGAGTACTCCCATCTGATTGATCAAAGTAAGAAATGTTTGAGTGAAGGAAACAGCATTACAGGAACCCACATTACATTCAGTCAAGAAGTACCCCATACCTTGATTCAGAGCCCGAATATTATTCCTCCTCAAGTCCAATCTTGAGACATCAAACAGAGATTTTGCAGTAGGAATCACCCGTACAAAGAACTCTGGAGCTTCTGAGATGTTGTTGGCTATCAGAGGAGAGGCAGTAAAATACAGCACATTTAAGCCGGTGTTAAAAATTGAAATGAGAGTTGACTTACAAATCAGTGGCCCAATGAGCCAACTGGGGAAGGGGGGAAACATTGGGAAAAGGCAGGAACTTTAACAAGAGAAGAACCTGGATAGACCAAAAGGACAGGTTTGCGAGCCTCATTCTGGAAGGTGGACCACTCAACCTTTGAAATCGAGGAAGAAGACTTCAAGAACTTCTTGATTACACATAGGTAAAGGAACCGTTTGGCATGATACCTGTGATTTAAATAGTCTTTCTCATTGAAGCACTCCTGCAGAAAGGAAACCAAAAGCATAATTTGAGAAAACAAAAGTAACAGTTAGTCAAATTCTTCCAAAATTTGACAGAACAAAAATATGTTCTGCAATCATACAAACCGACTAGTCACCTTAGGAAGCCGCAATAGAATATCCACGCCAGTGTCCGGTCTCGCAATGCTGTTTATTGAATAACTGCCGCAAACTTCAATATAACTAGGCCTCTTAAACTTGAATTCGGCCTTGTCAGCACCAATATCTCGAACGAAGCCTCGAGCTTCCTTTGCTGTCACCTGCTCAAAGTAAGACGAGAAAACATGAGCTCCACCACCAAGCTCCGAAATGAACAAAAATCCCATCTTCAAAGAGAAGTCTAGGAAAATGGTTAACCTCCAAGCCCTCTGGGATTTGGTTGATTGATTCTCTAATGGCTGAAACGGTGTCCTCGACGAGTTTGGTGAAGGAAGAGGACGTCTGAAGATGAACTTCCTTTAGGAGCTCAGAGACCTTCAAGGTCATTGGATCCAGAGCTGTAAGTTCCTCCATCATCGTTGTTTGCTGGACGAAAGAACTCGACTGCCAGCGACGAGAGGGGGATTACTAGGGTTTAACGGAGTGTCAAGTGGCGGGAGATAGGTCAGAACTCAGAAGAGTATAACGAAAAGAATAAGAGTAGAGAATGGATTTTACGGAACTTCATCGACCTGGGCCCAATCTCGGCCTTCTATTACAGAAAGCTTGAACAGAAAGCCCAAACGTATTGGGCTGGACTCAGGTCGGGCTTGCATATCGAGCTACCATATCTAGAGCTCAATATAACCCATTGGTGAGTTGAGCCAATTCTCGCCTTTCGTTATAGAGAGCTGGACCTGCAAGTGCAAAACATTTCGGCTGGGGCCTGCAAGTCATGACCCATTTGATAGTAGACGAGCAAAGCTAGATGAAGTTGGCCACGAGTGACTCGGTGTTTCATTTGTGAAAATTTTCGCTTGGAATTCGGCTCATTTATTAATGAGTGAAAGTTGAGCTAAATCTTGTTCAGCTCACAAGGCTCGTGAGCTAGCTCAATCGGTGGCTTGTTCAACTCAACTCGCAAGCTAGCTCATTTTGAACTATGAGCTGACTCAACAGTATGGCTAATGAGCCACCTCAATTAGAAATTTATAGACGAATCGGTTAATAACTTATCATTGCATTGTTGATAATTCATATGCGTGTTGAATTATATATATACACATGGTTGTTAAAATATTATTTGTTCTCTGAAAGTCCTATTTGTGTTCTAAAATGACACGAGAAAGCCTTAATGGATTAGTAGTACAACGATTGAAAATGATCCCTTTAAAATACGAAAATTCGAGAGCTAATATAAAATTTAATTTCAAATGATGCTAGAAAATATTATTTTTAAAGAATAAAGTTATGATAATTTTCATTCTATTATACTTGATAAAGTAATTTTGACCACATTTCAATCCCGAAACAAGGTCTGCATGATTCATTTAAAGGGCTTTGTTTTATTAAATATTATTGTGTATCAGGTATTTTTTTAGTTTAGCTAACCGTTTGGTGATACAAGAGACGAAAAGAGAGCTAGGGCGAGATTAGGAGTTCACTCATTAGAACAAGTTATTTGCAAAGACAAGTTACTGTACGCCTAGACATGAAATTCCTGTTCATTTAGACTCAAAATTACTGTTCACCCTCCTCCCATTGGTGCGTCTTCTGCGATTGGGACCAGCCGCCTTTGCTGATTGGTTGGCTTCCTGCGTCTGGGTCCCGCCGTTGTTGCTGTGTGTGCCGCGTTGCCCTCAGCTGCACGTTCATTCTCCCTTCGCTTTCTACTTCCTTCGAGCAATCCCGCTGAGAATTATACCTTCTTATAATGATTACATCGGTCATTCTGTACGTCTTTCATTGCTTTTCTCTCTTGCCGTGTATATTTGTTCTTGCTTTTCTCAATTTCGGCCAATGATGGCCGCTTTTTCCTTCTGCTCAGTCTCATGCATTTGGGCATAGGGGAATGCGCTCCTCTTTCCGTTTGGCCTGGTATCTGACACCTGACGCTTCGGCGTCTCAAAATTCTCTGCTTCTTTTTATACTTTCTATCCCTGGCGGTTTTTTATTTTACTCCGTGCTTATCTCTTTGCGAGGGTGTTGTTTGCTCTGCCTTACGTTTCCGCCCGTTATTGGACCAGAAACTGACATGCACCGCCCTTGCGACTGCTTCCCTCATCCCTCTTTTTTATACTCTTCTGTGGCGCCGAAACTTCTTTTCTTTCGTTCAGGTCTGTTTCTAATAAAAAAAAAGGTTCCCACCCTCTTTGGTTCTCTCCATCTCACAAAAAAATGGAATTCACATTGCTTTGTAATCTCGGAGGTCCGTGCAATGCCGGGATTTCTTTACGCCTCTGTTTACTGCATGTGTGGCCGTCGAAGTCTCCGGGAGACAACAGGATCTACAACTACTGTACTCTATGGACCGACGAAACGGTTAGCTTTTTTTCGCTTCGCTTTCTCTTCTGTGCTCTGGTTTGTTCTCATCTTTTTGTTTTGTTCACGAGTCGGGATGGCATGCTTTGCGCAGGGTATGCTGATTCAATGGTTGTTGAGATTCGTCGTAATCTCTCGGTTGGGATGATATATGTCATAAAGTCCTTTGCCCTGAGCAATCCGCCGAATCAGTATCGGTCGTGTTCTTTTGATTTGGCTTTGGGTCTTTCGCCTTCGACTTCTCTCCTGCCATGTGCTCTTCCTGCTGAGAGTTTCCCGGTTGATGCTTACGAGTTTGTGGTTTTCTCCCAGTTGGGTATTCGTGCCGATAATCATCGTTACTTGACAGGTTAGTTGGTTTGGTTTTTTAGGTTAGGTTTGCTTATATGTCTTTTGTTTGTTTACTAAGATTTAGTCTCTGTGTGCCTTTATTCGTAGATGTTGTTGGCCGGCTCCCTTCGATCAGTGGGATATCGCACAAGATCACAAATAACGGCACGGCTGTCAAGCAAACGGTTATTATTGAGGATGAAAGGTATTATGCGCTTTTCATGGGTTTCTGAGTTTGGTTGCATGTGTCGTGTTTGTTCTTTGCTTTTCTTACGTGTCCCTATATTTTTCCGCAGTGGATCGAAGGTCACGATTACCCTCTGGGATGAGTTTTCGGCGGTGTTGGATCATGTTGCTCTCACTCAGGCTGACTCGATTGAAGCTGTGATATTGGCATTTGGCGGCTTGCTGGTTAATAAGTTGGGGGGTATGTTGTGGTTTCCTTATTGCGTGCATCTTTTCCCCGATATTATGTGGGGCTCATTAGCGTGTTTTGGTTTTTCCCTCTCTTTTGTGTTTCTTTTTAGATGATTATGTCCTGTCGAGTTCGTCTGCTACTCGCATAGCAGTCAACCCTCCAGTACCTAAGGCTTATTATCTTGCATCCAGGTAAGCTAATTGCGGCCTGTGGCCTCTTTTGCGTTTCGTGTTTGTGTAATGTGTTGTGTGTTAAGAACTCTATGTTGTTGTATTCATGGCGCTTTGATTGCTACCAGGTTTGCTGAGAAACATGAGACTGTTGCATCCTTGCCAGTTGAGTTTGCTACTGCTGCTGATGCAACAGCTGATGCTGATCGTCGTACCAAGACTTTGGGCAGTTGTTGGCCTTATCTAGGACGAATTCCTCGCTGGTTTTGCTTATTTCTCTCAAAAAGTTTGCTGCTTTTGTTTTTCCCGTGTTTGCAAGTAACGTGCCTTCTTTTCTTTTGTAGGAAGAAAAGTATCATTGTGGTGGAGTGATTGTTGATGTCGAGTCAAACACACCTTGTTATTATATTTCATGCAAGTTATGTTCAAGAGTTGTTTCGAAGCATCGTGATGATTCGTTTTGGTGCCCAAAGGATTGGTAGTTGGATGAGGAACAGACCCGGGTCAAGTATGATTGTATATTTGTTTTTCTAGCATCTTTGTTGTCTGTTATAAGTTTTGCTGCTGATGTTCTTTATTCCTTCAGCTACAAGCTCTTGCTTACACTGAGGGACGACTCTTGTGAAGCTCGCTTTATACTGATGGGGGGGGGGGGGGGTGCGCGCTTGCGCTGGTCAATGTTTCTGCTGCACACCTAGCCCAAAGGTTCCCCCATCGTCCCGGTCAGCTGCCCCCACAGTTGCATCAATTGCGAGGGCAATATGTAAAGTTTGATTGTAGGTTGCCGTTGCCGGGTCCTACTGGTTTCTCTTTGGGTGAATTCCGTGTTACCCAGGTTATCCCTCTTGATGATCCTACGGTGGTGGGTGATTTGCTTGAGTTTTCTTCGCCGCGTCCGTCGCCTCCTCCTTCTCTGGGTGCAGTAAGAAGCGTGGGAGGCCCATCAGGTTCACCGAGGTTGGTGTTGTTTGCTATGTTTTGTGTATGACTTGCGTTGGTTTATCTATCATGATTAAAAAGAGTTGTTTTTGTAATCTGTTCTCAATGGCTGCGAAGGGAAAGGAAAAGGTTTCAGATTCTATCCCCATTGAAGCTCCAGCTGTGCCATTTAACATTGCTGCCAACAAGATCTAATTGAGAGGTATTCATGATTTTCATGAAGCTTATTTTGTTTATTTGTGATGGTGTTTAGGGATGTTGTCTGAATTGGTTATTATATGGTTTGCAGATTTCCCAGCCCTGCGACCAGGATTTTGCGGGATCCTATTCCTGCCAGTGTCGGGAGTGAGGATATTGATGCTGGGTCGCGGATTCTCAGAGATTCTCAGCTTTCAGTGATGGGTGTACAGGTGGGGTCCATCCTGCCTACTGCGACTGTGATCGCGTCTTCTGCAGTCCAGTCCAGTGCTCCATCTGTCCCACCTGCTACTTCGATGGTCCCCAAACGATCGGCCAGGATTGATGAGTCAATGAGTCCTCAAGATGTTGGTCGTGATTCATCTATGCCTGCTTCGAAGATCCTGAAGCCATCCCACGAATCATCTCCTGGGAAGCCCTTAGGTTCAATCGCCGCCTCGCCTTCGGCATCGTTGTAAGTTTTTGTATTGTACATTATCAGTTCTCCACTGTCTTATACATGTGTTGTTTCCGCGGTTCTAACAAGTAGGAACTCTATTTGGTTGAAGGTTGGTCTCTCCACTCGCCAGGATAAAAGTGGAGAAATTGGATGCTGCCGATGTTGCTCAAGTCCCACTTGGTGGTCCCTCGCAGGCAGGTGTTAGTATGGAAAGGGATTCTTCAGTGGATAGTCAGAAGAATTCGGCGGCAAAGCGTGCTTTGTTTAAGAAGTGATCATGGGTTGAAGGTTACTCCTCAGTCTATCCGTAGTATTTTTGTTGCAACTTAGTTTTTGTGCGTGCTATGTTTCTCATTTTTTATTTTGTTTGTTGCAAGAACTGTTCTATGTTTGATGATGTCCCTGTAGTTGTTGCTGTTTTGTATTAGAAGGAGACGTTGATCTTTGTTTTGCAAGTTGTTCTCTTGGTTTGAGCGACTGTGGTTTGCCCCTTTTGGTTTCGGATATATATTGGCTGTATCTATGTGGATGTTATGAGAGGATGTATTCCCTCTGTGCTTTTGTTTTATGTTGTACTGTATAACTTTTGCGTGGTTGCTCACTGCAATATTGCTGCCATACTGTTTGATCTTACCGGGTGCTATATATATAATGTTAGTTCTACTTATCGTTGAATGCATAGGCAATTTCAATTTCCAGCTTCGGTGAATGCCAATTCTTAGCGTTGTCGTGTTCCAGTTCTGCTGAGCTTTCGCTGATTCTTTCTCTTAAAGCCCAACAAACCTATATTTAATTATGAAATTGCCCTCTACAAATTTAGTTACCCCGACCGTCGGAGTATATTCAACATTGCGTGAAAACCACCGACATAAAAACGCACGTATGAACATGTATAATTATGGTGTAGTTAGATAGGAATGTACTTTTTAATTCGTCAATATAGTTTATGCATTCTAATTGAGCTCACGTGTTCCGAAAAGGAAAAACGCTTATGGCAATCTGCGATGAGTATGTATGTTCTTAACACGGTACGGCCTCTTTCTACACAAAAACAAAACTAAAATAATTGATTTTTTTCAATTTATTAATCAAGTATAAGGTTAGATATTTTGTGAGTTAGTGATTATTATACTAATGCATGACTCACATACCAATAATAACACATTTTAATATAGGTAGATACTTATGCATAGCTCAGATATCCATGATGGCACATTTTAATATTGGTTTTCATCCTCATTGGGGTTATGTTAACTTCTTCAGAAACATCTCTCATTCCACTCTCATTCTTCATCTACGGTTTGCTCATTTGTATCTTTTGTTTGCCCAACGAATTTGGATACTTATCTATACAACCATCACGTTCCTGATTGTTGAAGGTAGAGTTACTTCTCATTTATATTTGTTATCAATGAGTCTTCTGAGTATGTAAGTGCAGTTAATGTTATTCTTTTTCATTACTTTCTCATTCAATATATCCGAATCGGTTTCTATTTGTCTGGAGCCGATTAATGAATAATCTGGGGAGTAAATGGTGCTGATCTTTTCCCATTTTGTGTCTTTGCTGTGCAGCAATGCCTCCGAGAATAAGAAAATCCCAATATCACACTTTGACACGTAAGAGACCTAGAGTTGAAATTCCCAAGCAGACATCGGAGGATCTTATAACTTCTTCAGCTGTGTTTGGGGATACAGCTACCGAGATTCAGAACAACATACAGGGGTCATTGCAGAATCTTCATCAAGTTTCGCCGTCACCAGCAGGTGATGAGTTCAATATCATGGCATATCTGATGTCTGAAGTATAGAATACTCATGAACATATTATGCGTTGATAATTTCTGTCCATATCGAGCGCTTATTGTTGCTTATTCTATGTTTGCTGTGCATATATCAGGTTCATCACGGCCAAGGAAATCGTGCTATCAGACCATGAAGCAATTAGGATCCAAAGATATAACTCGACCCATTTTTTATCAAGAACAGGGGAGCCCTGATGTAGAGGCTGAATGTAACGAAAACAGCGGCCGAGTAACAAAGGCTAACCGTCGAAAAACTGATTGTTCAAGTCGGCGACGGTCAAATGAGGTTCCATCATGTAGTAGGCATATTCCCACAGCTAGGAAGCCACTACACAATGATATTCTCAGAATGGGTCAGCCAGAATGTGTCTGTAAATACTGTGGTGCTTTGTTTTGGGATATGGAAAGACTCGATCGGCGTCGAGCAACAACTGATCCAATCTATGGATTATGTTGTCAAAAAGGTCGTGTTGGTTTGCCGCTTATAGCACAACCTCCACATTTGGTGGCTGAACTTCTGCGGTTTGATGGTGGCGCTATGTCGAAGCATTTCAGGGATAACATTAGACCGTACAATGGTTCATTGTGCTTCACATCGTTTGGCGCTTCTATCGACCCTCGCTCTCTCTTTGGAAGGGGCCCCTATTCAATGGTTATATGTGGAGAAAATTATCATAGAATTGGTTCATTGCTGCCTCCTAATGGTGAAAAACCAAAGTTTGCTCAGCTCTATATTTTCGAACCTGAGAATGAAATTGACAACCGGTTGGCGAACTTTGCTTCCCGTGATGGTCTACTTATGCCAGAATTGCTCACTTTATTGCTTCAAATGTTAGATCAGCATAATGAACTTGTCAAAACATTCAGGCGGGTTCGGCAGCAGCTGCAAGATTCTTCAACAACAAGTTTAAAGCTTCGAATTTTTGGAGCTAAGAGCAGAAATCGACAGTATGACTTGCCCAGCAGCACTGAAATCGCGGCACTTATACCGGACGATTTTATTCCGGACAGAGAGGATCGAGATATTATTGTTGATCACATATATGAGGGTTTGAAGAGAATTACAAGTCTCAATCCAAAATTTGATGCATTACATTTCCCACTCTTATTTCCATATGGAGAGGATGGCTATCATCCACTTATCAAGTACATGTCAGCTTATTGTCCTCCTTCTATGCGTCGATAGTTTGTTACTCAGCGAGAGTATTATACATTTAGGCTCCAATATCGCATCAACGAAGGCCATACAATTGTTCAGGCTGGAAAAGCTCTTCAGCACTTTTGCATAGACGCCTATTCATCAATAGAGTTAAATAGGCTAGCTTTTTTGCGCTACCATCAGCCACAACTTAGAGCTGAGGTTTATCAAGGCTTGCAAGATGCAATGGCGCGAGGTGATCTTGATGGGGTTAAAGTGGGTCATGTAGTGCTCCCTGGGACTTATATAGGTAGCCCACGATATATGCAACAATTATATCACGATGCAATGGCGGTGGTCGAGTTCTATGGAAATCCAGATCTATTTATTACATTTACGTGTAATTCATTGTGGGAAGAGATAACAGAAGCTTTTCGTGACATTGTTGGCCCGAATTGTTCGGACAAACCAATGGTGGTTTCAAGTGTTTTCCACATAAAGTAAGCATTCTCATCGACGACATGAAGAAAAACTCCTACTTTGGGAAGACAATCGCAAGTAAGAGCAGTATGATCATTTAATATAATTTGGTCAGTACAAGCAATCAATTAATTTTCAATGCACATATTTGGATACCTCCATTTCTAACAAGTTTTGCTTTGCACCAGTAATGTATACAGTGGAGTTTCAAAAAAAAGGTTTGCCTCACATACACTTGCTGGTTTGGTTGGCTGAAGAGAATAAACTAAGGACAGCAGATGATATTGATGAAGTCATCTCAGGCGAACTTCCTGAACCCCAAGAAGATCCAGTTGGATATGAGGCTGTTTGCAAATATATGTTACATGGTCCATGTGGAGAAGCAAACACAAATGCACCGTGCATGCGAGACAATAAACGACCCTCAAACGGAAGATGTTCGAAACAATTCCCAAAAGAGTTTAACTCAGCAACGTCATTTGACAAGTTCGGAAATGTCATCTACAGAAGATCTAACTCTGGCATAGAGGTTCAAAAGGGAAGTTCAGTCCTCGACAATCGACATGTTGTTCCATACAACCGAAATTTGTTGGTGAGGATGCAGGCTCATATCAATGTTGAGGTATGTCATAAAGGCAAAATTATTAAATATCTTTTCAAATATGTGACGAAAGGGCCGGATAGGTCATTAGTGATTGCTGAAAGTGCTGATGCACCCCAGAGCAATGCAGAAGTGCAGCCTGTGTGACACAGAGATGAAATTCAACAATTCATTGACTGCCGATCGTTGTCATCTTATGAAGCTATATGGAGGCTGAATGAATATCCAATACATGTAAGAGAACCAGCAGTAGTGCGTTTGGAAGTTCATTTGGATGGCCAGCAAAAAATACCTTATAAGAAGCAGTCCAATGTTCGGAATATTTTGGGGAATCCATACGCCGGTAAGAAGCACTTAACAGAATGGTTTGCGCTTAATCGAAGGGATCCCCAAGCAAGAACTCTTACATATGCACAGACACCAAACAATTACACTTGGCTACCTGACTGTAAAGAGTGGAGTCCACGCAAAAAAGGATTTGTTATAGGCAGAATTGCATATGTTCCGCCGGGTTCTAGCGATGTTTTTTTCCTACGAATGCTGCTCACGAAAGTTCGCGGCGGTATCAGTTATGCTCATCTGAGAACTGTCGATGGAGAACTTTGTTCAGATTTTGAAAAAGCTTGTGGAAAATTGGGCCTTTTATCAGACTCTTCAGAGTGGATACGAGTGCTAAATGATATCTCATCTTCTAGCATGCCAAGGGTGATTCGAAGCACTTTCGTATCAATGCTTATATTCTGTGAAATACCTAGCCCGATCACATTGTTCAATTCTTCTTGGAAATCTATGTCTGAAGATTATGCATATAGTTCAGTCAAGGATCTCAGGGATCGAACTATGAGGCCTAGCGACGAACGATTACATAACTGGGTTCTACATCAACTACAGGCTATGTTGAGCTCACACTCAATGACTCTTGAGGACTTCAATCTTCCACTTCCATTCGATGGTCCATGTGATAATGGCGAGAAGCCACTCATAAACGAGCATCTAGCTTTTGATACGGATCAGCAACATGCATTAGCCACCTCTATGTTGGAGTCTCTGAATTTTGAGCAAACCACTGTCTATTCAGCAGTCATCAACTCAGTGCACAACAAGATGGGTCGTGCTTTCTTCCTATATGGTCACGGAGGTACAAGGAAAACGTATCTCTATAATGTAATTACAGCAAAGCTTAGGAGTTGGGGGAAGATAGTTGTTCTGGTTGCATCATCGGGGATTGTGGCAACACTTCTTCCCAAAGCAACAACGACACATTCAAGATTCAAAATCCCCCTCACTCTGGATGCAACGTCAACATGTCCAATTAAACACGGTACACATTTGGCTGATCTGTTAAAAGAAGCATCCTTAATCATATGGGATGAGGCGCCTATGACACATCGAAGAGCTTTTGAAGCTATAGATCGAAGTTTATGCGATATATTAAATGTTCCACTGCATGGGGATCGTTACAAACCATTTGGAGGAAAGACGGTCCTTTTTTATGGAGATTTTCGGCAAACTCTTCCGGTTATCACCGAAGATGGACGTGAACAGACTGTTGATAGTTCATTGACTAGGTCCAAATTATGGAGTTATTTCAAAGTAATGCAGTTGTCTACAAACATGCGAATTACAACCGTTCAACATGCTGATCAGCATCTTATACATGGGTACACATTTCCAGAATGGGTTCTTGCTCTAGGAGATGGGAGACTAAAAGCAACATCATTCAGAGAAGATGCTCCAATGGATTGGATACAAATACCACAGCTGTTCTTAATTGATCCCGGAAATGATCCTGTTGAGTCAATAGCAGATGATAAATATGATTCGTTTCCTCATAATCATAGGCACCCATCATACCTCACCACTAGAGCCATAGTTACTCCAACCAATGCAACTGTCTCTACAATCAATAATTACATGCTTCAACGTGTTCCAGGAAGTTTGACAACCTATTACAGCTCAGACTCACTATTGCTATCGACAGAAACAGCAGATTCATTCGACGAAAGCTATCCAACTGAGTTTCTCAACACTCTTACATTCAATGGAGTGTCAGACCATGAGCTCACAGTAAAGGTAAACACACCAGTTATGCTCCTACGCAACTTGAATCCTGGTCTTGGTTTATGCAATGGCACGAGGATCATGATTACATCTTTGGGAGACAATTATATAAAAGGCAACATTATGGGTGGTTCTTATGACACTGATGAGGTCATTATACCAAGAATAGTGTTGAATGTAGAGAACTCCAAGTGGCCCTTTATACTCAAAAGGAGGCAATTCCCAGTGCGATTATGCTATGCAATGACTATAAACAAAAGCCAAGGACAAATGCTCGAAAAAGTTGGGATATATTTGCCTGAACCAGTTTTTAGCCACAGCCAACTCTATGTGGGAGTTTCAAGAGTAAAATCAGCGAGAGGTTTGAGGATACTTATAGAAAACCCAGCAGAAATCCCCCACGACTTTACAAGAAACATCGTCTTCACCGAAGCATTTGCTAATATTATGGATATCTAAACTGCATATCAGGTAATCCTAATAAACCTATTGAATTAATCAATGTCTATATTAGCAAATATGCGTAATACAAATGATCGTTTCCCTTACAGAATCGAAGGATCTCTCAAATGCACTCATGTTGACAATAATTTAGCCGCCGCTTTCTGTGTATTGTCAGCCTAGAAGGCTCTAATGTTAGTATCTTAACAGCTCAGAGAGGTGAATATTTTGTCTTGATCATGCATCGAATCATAAATGATCAAGAACTACATTCATCTTTGCTTTTGGCGATCAGTTTTACAAACATATCCTATGGTTAATATTATAGATGAGAAATCTGAGTTATTAGAATTGTATCCATCAAAAGTTTAGATAGAAATTCCAATTATGTATAAATTACTTTGCTTGGACCTTAATCCACAAATCCGCAGATCAATAACAAATTGCCTTGTCTGGACCACAATCCACAAAACTATAGGGCAATACAGAGTAAATCAGTAAACATGCAGGCCCGTTGTTCAAGCCCATAATACGATTACCCAGTGCACATCCTTTATAGTCACAAATGCGATTTAAATAGAAGCCCATAATACAGGCCCGTCCAAACCAAGCGATCCTCCTTAAAACCCTATCCTCCCTCATCAACCATCGACAACCGCCGTCCACAATATCTTCATCAACCTTTCTTCGCCGAAGAAGACCCACCACAGAAACTACCAGACAAACATTAAAGCAAAGGTAAGTCCACGTCTCTCTCTTCTTCACCGCTTTTACTGCTGAAACAACATTTCTGGTCAGTTTTTGTATTGTTCGCACAGAGACCCCACTTGGCATGGAGAGTTTAGGCAAAAATCGCCAGACAACAGATGGCACTCACATGGTCCCACCAATATCAAAGGTGAGAACTTCCATTTTCGTAAATAAATCCTCCCAAGACTATCGATTCCTCTGCAAGAAAGATAAAAAATCCATTTCGTTTCCCTTTATTGTCTTATAGATCCGATTGAAACTTGCATGCCATTTCGGGGTTTGCGTTTGGGCATAAATACTCGCATAGTCATTGCTCGGACTGTGATGACGTGGCTCGAATTCTGAGAGGCACCCGGGCCTAAAAACCTCAGCATGCACATGATTTGGATAGACAAGAAGGTTCATTTACAATTAAGTTAAATAATTGCATAATTTATTCATGAGTTCTTTTAGACCAGTGTACCATGTAATTTGAGATCGCTAAACTGTTTATCTTATAGGCACGATTGATCGAGTCGATGGTTGATGAAAAGGACATCGACGAGATTTCTCGCAAGATTAAAGTCAGGAACTTTTATCAGTTTGATTCGGTGGTGGCTATACCAGCAAGAGAGAATTCGAGGATTGTTGCAGGAGAGTTAAGGATACACATAACTCCCAACCAAAACATCCTCAGAATTGAAGAGGACCCAGATGAACCACGACTACCGATTGGCTTGGACATTGGGATGGCTTTTTCGATGGTACCACTTCAGACAAATACCATTGACTATCATACAGGTTACGCTTGACTATCTCAGTTTCCCATTCTAAAATAAACGTAAACTTTAAAATAACAATCTCTCTCGGTGACCACAGATATCACTGCATGCGTCAGGCGTATTAGCGTTCCTACAACAGTTCGTGGTACCCTCCGAGAATTCAACCTGGTCATACAGGATGTGAGGTGCGTTCTATAGAATAATATACTACTTTATTAATTATATGAATCATCAACCTTACATATATCTGTCACAATCAGTGGCGCTAAGGCATCTGTGCTGTATCGAGGATATGACATCCCGAAGTTCTTAGAGAATGCGCCAACAGCTGAGGCTCATCTGCCCCTCATTGTTGCAATCAAAGCTGCTATTCGAGTGCCGCCTCTGTCCACCCAGAAATATAAGTATCGTTTTGAATCCGCTCCTGCCAGTCAGTTGATAATCAGATCTTATGCAGGCACATTCAAAGAAATAATGCACATGTACACTTCTGTCTGAACAAATGTTATTCATTCTTCGATTCATATATACTGCCAACCGACCAGAACAAAGATGACGCTTTTTATTATTTTGCTACAACCAGCTTCCTCCATAGTTGCAGGCAGGTCTACTACATGGACGCCAACACCAGTAAGAAAACAGGCTGCCTTCGATCAACAGTTGAGAAGAAAACACTTGCTGACATCAAAGCTATGCTTGCATCTGATCAGAGCTGCCACAAGGTTAGTAGTGGACAAAATGCATCATAAATAGCTACATCTCGCAGTTACATTTTATAAACAAACATTGCTAACTAAGATATACCATTCGAATTAGGTGCTTTACCGTGCCAAGTTCCACATATCACAGATGAAATTTCGAAAAAGCATCTGCAGAACAACCGAGGTATGGCCAGAGTATGTTTCCTATTTCAATGCGCATCGATTATTTACAAATTTATCCACAAAGTAACTAACATAACTTCTCGCTTACATTTATGACCAGCTTGCACTATCAGCTCGAAGTCAAGTGTGAACAAGGATCTGATGACATTGATGTCATACTGGACCATGAGGCAACTCTCTCAATAATCGGGATGTCACCAAGCAAGTACGTGAAACTCGATGCGGATGCAGCTAAGGCGTTGCTGATCAAAAAATGCAGCAGAATGTTTGCAGGAGAATTGTACATCGGTTCCTCGGATCTGCAGAACAGAACCGCTCCAGCCAAACCTCACATCAGAGTTTCAACACTTTGGCACACCTCAAGAATCGACAAGTGATCGTCAGCATCAATGACAGAAAGAGCCCCTGCTACGTGTTTGCTGCCTCTATTATCCTCTTTCCTTAACCAAGTTTTTATTCTCGAGGTCCAACGAGGACAAAACAATGTTTAAATTTGATTAGGTTCTTCGGATTTCACAAGGCTGTTATGTACTATCTTTTGTTTTTATGCCATGAGACACTAACTCCCCAGCACGGTAACGTGCACCCAACTATAATGCATCTACAATGGCAGCATCCTTGCTTTGACAACTATGATGTTTGATGAGGACGGCTAGGTCACACAATCGAACGGCCCCGTGTACGCTGATAACATATGTTGTCATCTCTACACGACAGAACATGGCTGAGGCTTAACAATACCATAGAACATACTATATCCAACAATTATCTCAATCGTTTCCAGATTACATGCATACAAATACATATCATAATCCATGAAATTACTCAAGCCAAACTTATCCCGCCGCGGAGCGCGGGCTGATTACTAGTTTTCCAAATTTTAAGTACTGGAGTATATACCAACGTGCGACATGTGACCTTCTTTCTCATCAATCATCATACCATCGACCCTCATATATATACCAACGTGCTTTTTTGGAAGAGACATAATATGTAGAGAGTAAATTTTGTATGGAGCAGATGATGACTTATTGAGTCGTTGGACTTGGAGCAGATGCAAGTCCCAAAGTCGATTAGTAATTACAAGGGGGAAAAACGACGACAAAATTTGAGTCGTTGAAAGTATTGACACCTTCATTTGCTTTTGATTTTCCCCCGTGAATTCCAATTCATCTGCACATATATTTGAGAGCTCTCCAATGTTCTACGTGACAACTACTTCATAAACTGGAAATGCTTTATTATTTAATTTTTAGGGATTTTTCCAATAATAGCACCTTTAAAAAAAATTACAAAACTAGCACCCAAATAAAAAAAATTACAAAACTAGCACCAATTTTTTTGGAACGCACCCCTAAGATGCCTTTTAAAAGGAAAACGCACCGGAAAGATGCGTTCTACATATAAAACGCATCAGAGGGGTGCGTTCCATATAACAAATCGCAATAGGTCAGTGCGATTTAGTGCTGCTGCGGAACGATCTTCAAGATCGTTGGATGGAGGGACGATCGGGCGGCTCAACGCTTGCCAGCGGAGCGATCCGCGCCGAGGATTCCAGATCGCTTGCCAGCGGAGCAATCCGCGCCTAGGGAAGCGCAAATCGCATTGGAAGAGAGCGATCTGCGCGAGGGCAAAATTACCCGATCGTCCCTGGAGGGAGCGATCTGCTGGGTATAAATACCCCCCCTTCCCCTCTCATTTCTTCACACCACAACCCATTCTTCCTTCTCTCTCTACAATTTATCTCTCTAAACTCCCCCTCCCAAAAGCCTAGTAAATAGTGGTCTGTTGGTTGCGGCTAAGTCCGATCTGCCATCAGAAAACATTTCTTAGGTTTTTTCCTCAAAACCCGCCGAGCCGAAGCTCTGTCCGAATTGCGCCGAAAAAATGGCCGATTGGTGGCAAGGAGAAGGAGTTTATGTTGATGAATTTCAAGCGGTACGTACTCATTATTCTGGTTTAATTTTTGTTGTTGTTATAAGCTTTTTAATTAATCTATGTACGTACTCATACAATTCTTTACCATTTGTCCTTCTTTTATTTTGTTAATGTATTTAGTGAAATATAAAATAAATTTATTTTGAATTTTTAATCGTGTTGGTTGTTTTCAATAATTTAATCGAATGCATAGCGCCACTTACTTCGACTCTTTATAAAGAGATGCACGTCTAAGGAAATGGGGTTTTAAGAGATTATCATATCCTCCCATTCCCTGGGAAAATCGGGTATTAAGAGATCCTCGGATCCCCCCTTTTTCTGTCAAAAAGACTGCGTTTCTAAGAAGATGTATACCTCTTCCAAGAGTCCAACGAGTGTTGCTTTGTATTCAATTAAATTATTTAAAACAACCAACACGATTAAATAATTTACCAAACAACCCTTACGATTTATTTTGATGTGTACAAAAGGAATTTTATTAATTTCAAACAATTGAATATGTATGTTTATCTTTAAAATATTGATTCATTAACAATGTCATTTAATTTAGTTAATTTAGTATGTTTATTTTATGATAATATGTATGTATCTCTTTAAATTATTATTCATTTAGAATGTTATTATGTTAATTAATTTAGGATGTTCGTTTTATGATAATATGCATGTATCTCTTTAAATTATTATTAATTTAGAATGCTATTATGTTAATTATATGAAATGTCTTTTTATGATAATAAAATTCTGCTTGAAGTTAAATAATTTAATTTGATTAATTTAGTTATAAGGAATAAACCCTTACTAATATATAATAATTAACGTGTAAATTTTCCCTAGGAGGCACAAACAATAATCCGCTACAGGGGTACGACCAATGTGCTCCTATTCCACCCAGCTATCTTGCCCTTTCTCAAAAGGGCACGGTTGGACTCGATTAGGCATTTTAACGGCATCAAAGTTGATCACCAACTCATCACCGCCTTAGTTGAGAGATGGAGAAAGGAGACCCATTGCTTCAACTTTAGAGAAGGAGAGGCCACCATCACGCTAAAGGACGTCGCCATCCTAACCCATCTTCCCATCGACGGCAAACCGGTGTGCGTGAGTGATCATCCCCCCGATGATTGTGACGGTATGCCCGGCTGGGTTCATTTCATCTATAGTGTTTTGGAAATAAATGGTAGTATTTTTATTTCTTGAATGGTATTGATGTTTTGTACAATGGTAGTGTTTTTTAATGAATTGGTATTGATTTATTCTTTTGTTGTTGCAGCGGTATTAGTTTGGCTGAACGAAATCAAGGTAAGATTGAGAAAAGGAAGGAAGAGAGATCTGGCGGAAAAATTGTGGAAGTGGAAGTGAGAGAAAGAGAGAGAAAAAAAATTATATTTAATATATTTATATAATATCCTCAAATGTAATTTATTAAAAAAGATCATTAATAAATTTTTTGTTTAACCAGTTTGCCCTTAGTAACCATGGTAATTACTATTTTATAGGTATCACCGTAACATGTCCCTTCTTATATCATCCTATAAGGCGGTCTGCGGACCTTTCTTTTGGGATGGAATATGTTGACATGTGAGTAGCTAACCAGTCATGAAGTTATAGTTAACCTTTGCATATGTTAACAACCAAATCG